TCTTTGTATCCGTTTCACGTATGTTTGTAAAGTCCCCCGCGATACAGGGTATATTCTTATTGTGGAAGTTGTCTTTAATGAAAAAAAGTCGAAGTTGATAAAGAAGTTAAATTCGTTTTATTGGTAAATACATCACTTGAATGACGTCATCACGGGATTTGTAATTTAAAATCTGTTACAAGTAGTTTTTCTATCAAAAGAAAAGAGGACAGACACTTAATTGTTATTCAAACACGATAACGTCTGTGAAGGACAGCAGTACGGTAGTAAATACTTTTTAAAGCATTATCTGCAAAGAGAAAGAAAACTTAAAACAAACCCTATAAAAACTAGTCTGACCAGCGTGGTATTGTAGGTCAAAACCTCCTTTTTAAGGAGAGGCCTATGTCCAGCAGTGGACTATTATAGGCTGTTGATTGATTTTGATTGATTGATTGAAAGCATTCTTTCTTGAATTCGACTTTATACACACATTAGAAGCATGCATCTGGCGTGGGAAATAAATTTATTGAATATTTATTTATTACTAGCTGGTACCCGCGACTTCCTTCGCTTGGTATTTGAAAAGCACTGCCTAAGTGGATTATCCCGGACCGGGCAAAAGTTTATAGGGTGTCTCTAATAAGAAAAGTAGCCCAAGTTACTGCTTAAATAGAATTCTCGTAGTAAAATATTATCAAAATCGGTACAGCCGTTTAGAAGATTAACGGAACAAATAGACAGACAGACAGTTAGTTTTTTTTACTGGTTTTTAGGCACGGGTATCGTGCAAATAATTGTGTGCATAAACAAACCTATTATTTGGAGATTACAAACATACACTTCCATTTTATTTATTTGTATAGATTCGTTTAGAAAGTTCTAGAGGTATTAGGCGAGGTTTGCTAGGTAAGCCAACCAAACTCCTTCCAGAAGCGCAGAAGCGATTTTGTACTAGGTATGGTACTTGCCCGTTGTGTGGCCATTCCCTCGCATCCCCCTGATTGTTGTGTTGTGAGTCTTGCGACTCTTCGAGTTGTAGATATTCATGTATTTTGTCATCTCGTAGTAAAATAGTAAAGTATTACTAAGACTAACAGATAACCGATTAAATTTTCGGTTACAATACGATATGATCACACTACAGACTTTTATTACGAGAATTGGCCTTTAGAGTGGGTAACGTGCGATAAGGAACTTAGATATACAGCCTTGGCCAAAAGTATTAGGCACCCCAGAAAAATGCACAATTCATGTTTACTGATTGAACAATGAATAAATGCTTATCTTAGATGGCATGCCGGGGTCACAAATAACTTCCTAGAAAAGCAAGCAGCTATCTGTTATGGTCATAAAACACCTGGTGACTGAAAACAAAGGATTTGTTTTTATGCGTTCTTATCAGTCAATGTTTGGTCACTTGTGTTCAGGACTCTAACGAGTAATCAAGCTTTTATTTCTAACATAGTGATTAAATTGACGCGTAATTTATTTAAAAATGCCGAAAAGAAGTGAAATTCGTTTGGAAAACCTAAGACCTAGTAACGATCTAGGTAGTGCAGAAGTTGTGCTTTCAATTGCAAGGTCAGAGGTCGCGAGCTCGACCCCAATGCAATTATTTATTTTGCACGAATAAGTGTGGCAGTTGTATGAATAAATATGTATGTGATTACGAGAAATATATATACCTACATATGTGTATCCATTAAAATCTATAAAACAAGCTAAGAGTATGGTTAGGTTTAGTCTGGACTGCTATGCTATGCCTACCTTAGACCTGCCTTTTACTCAAACTAGGTTGGGGTCGGCTTAAGTCTACTACGATATGGTTGAACGGCGGAACGACTGTCATCAAGCCTTCACAACTAGGCGATATCGAAGACCTGTAGAAAAACTGTTGTTGGACTTTTTAGGGCTCCAAATACCCGTAACGATTGCCACTGATGTTCGAATGGCAACCGGGACTGACTGCTTAATGTGATCTCCGAGGCACGGAGGGGTCTCAATGTGTTAAGAAAGAAAATAAATGAACATATGTACTTCTCAAGAAATTTAAGATTGCCGAATAATCGAGGATTTAAAAGTCGGAACGTGCAAAGCGGAGGTGAGAGACGAGCGGAGCGACTGATTAAGGCCCGGTGGAGGAGATGTGTTTTGAATAACCAATTATAGTTCGTTATTTCCACATCTCCTCTCCGCTTAGCTTCGGTGGAAAGGGATCAATCATTTTTCTATAGAATTTTGTGCCGCGAGCGAGCAAGCGGCGCGGCAGAGCGGATAAGTGTGTAGTTGGCGGGCGGCCCCCGCTGCCTTCTCCCAACAAACTTTTGAAATAGTGTGGCATATTCGCCATGACTGTGATATTTTATATGGTTTCTTATCCAGGATCTATGTTGCCGTAGATAATTTAAATATTGAAGAATTAATCGTATTCCTTCAACCTCTAATTATTCTTCCTCAAGCAAATTAAGATATAACTATAGTAACTACATGACGTTGTCCTTATGTAGCTACAGTGACTTGCCTCACTGGACTTGACAGTACAGTACAGTACTTGACTGGTTTCGAGCTCCCACAGTTTACATCTCTGCTACACACAGCTCACTTCTCTTCTCCGCTCGGCGTCTCCTCTCCGCTTTGGTGGAAATAACCTGTTAGCTTCGCAGCCCATCTCCTCTCATCTCTTCTCCTCTCTGCTTTGGTCGAAACCGGGCCTTATAGGCTCGTGCGCGCAAGAAGAGGTTTTTTTATGGAAACACTTTACATATCTTCTCCGCTCTGCTCAACCGTTTCCACTGAAGCTGAGAGCAGATGAGGATGAAACGAGTAAATAACCAAATTCTATTGGTTGCTTATAAGAGTTATAACACATCTCCTCTCCTCTCGTTTCGCCTCCGCTTTGGTGGAAACCGGGTCTTAGTCAATGGCAATTTGGTTGCTCTTATAACGTCAATCGGCCTAAAATTATAGTCGTCATAATAGACGTAGAGGTTTACTTATATAATTAATTAAGGTTTCTTGTAAATAGGCTTAAATATATATGGCGATATAGAAAATGCCGGTAAATATAGTAACGACTTTGAGTACAAAAGGTCGTTTAATAGGTTTATATTATTGCTATTCCTGCAAAGGTGGGTTTCCAGTGAATAATAAATTTCAATGTTATTTTATTGAACAATTATACGAAAACTGATAACCCAATTAGGTATGATGCAATTATTTCTTAATATAGTGATTAAATAAGCGATAATTTGAATGAAGGATCATATACAATTAAAAGTATTACCTACATTTTTAATTGTAAAAACAGTTATTTAAGAAATTTATGAACATATTCGACTGCACAGATGGTGTAGTGGTATTAGCGGTCGCCACGCCGCTTATTACTTTTTTTGTTTTTGACCAAAAACCGCACGTCTTCTCAAATCAAATCTAATTTACTTGGGCTACAAACTCGAAATTTTGCAGCTGATGTTGTAAACAACCACTAAGTAGGGTAATTAGGCCTAAGGGGGTATAATAGGGGGTGAATGGTTGCATGGAATGGAATGGCATTAAAGTTAGAAACACGAAATAGACAGTGAGTGCAGCCCCGGGCATTTGTTTTAAATATTTTGTACATTCGTGTTTTCTCTTCTACGGTCAAACAATTGTTTTAATTGATATGAATTGCTTGGTGAGACAAAATTTCCTCCACTATAGTGTGGTTAACTGGAGGCCAAAAAAACTAGTATGAGGACAATTTTTCATAGCGACTCATGAAAATTTGCATGCGAAATTTAGTATCTATCAAATTTTGTTCTACATTTACTTAAAAAGTCGCTAAATACATTTGAAATTAATTGACATAATGGAGCACTGGTTACAAACTAAATGACAGACGCGGACAGTAAACTCCGCATTCGTGTAGACGACAGTTATGTCATTTGAGCGAATAACTAAAATAAATGTACAACAATCCCATTAAGCAAGCTTCCTAAATGATTAATTACACATACATTTTTTACCAAATGTAATAACAATCAATTTTATAATAAGAAACAAAAGGCCAGGGTTTGAGAACCCTGGCCTTATGTTTCCTTTATTATAAAATTTAGATAGACCTTTGTAGATATTTAGGTATATCTATCAATTGTTTTGTCTATAAACATTAATAAAGATTTTATGTGAATTGAGAATTCTATTATACACCAGTTCATGGTCCTTGCGTACCCCTTGTAATTTAAATATTATAATTTTTGAAAATCAAGTCAAAATTCAAGAAAAAATTCATGGTTTGTCTCGTACACCTTTCATAAATACTAAAGCATGAATAAATAAAAAAAAATCTTTGAGAATAGACAAAAACTGTTTTTTTTTTAATAGTAGTGACCATGAGACACATTTTTTGTTTTATTTAATCTATAAGTTTAAGTTCCAGCTTATTGTGTTGAAAATACTATACACATGTGTTTTTTTAAATCCTCCAAGCTTTTAGGTATCTTTTGAATGTAAACTAGAGCAGAGGTAACATTTTGTTTATGGTTAGTTTTACCCATATTACTAACTTACAGGTCTATAGAAGGTAACAATTAAGAAACCTGTACCTATAACACAAGTGCATCACAGGCTTTTGAGAGGGAAGTAAGCTCTTTTATTGAAACCGACTGAATTGAATACTTATACAAATTGAAATTTTAGTTCAATTTGTATAAGTCATACATTGTACGACAACAGTTATCATCTCACAGAACTACTCCAACTTCGCAAAAATAATATGTTGCATAATCATTCATATTTATTAGTTTAATGATTATGAACTCAGTAATAGTCATGAACAGATCACGACAGACCTATTAGCATCGTTTAGCACACATGTTTTAGAGATGTTATGGCAATATCTAACTAGAACCGTTCCCAACACTTAAATTGTATGATGTTATGTTACATGTAGCTATAAACAAGAAGTTTCCCGCCCGTTAATGACATTGGTATTAGAGGAAGGTATTAGTACAATCTTAAAATAAAGTAAGCATTCATACCCGGCAAGGCCGCCGAAAGCGAACTTAAGTCCGTTTGGTACATAACGCTCCTTTGGCGGTGCTACAGCTGTTTGTGCCATTTTAAGTTTGTTTCTTTTTAACTAAAATCACAAAACACACTCAATGCACACGGTCCAACCACATAGACACTGTTCAAAAACTGTATGGACACTGAATTTAAATAGTGTGCCTTGCACAACCCTTTCAGCAAGACAGCTGAATTTGACAATTGACGTGATAACATGTTGACAATTCTGACATTTCTTGCAAGTTTTTTTACTTGAATATGAATCTTTTCAGAATAATAGCTATGGAGGATTGTGTCAAAGTCTTCGCAGTTGACTCCTAGAGTAGATGTAGTTAAACTTACTCCGTGTATCATAGATGTGAAACAAGAAGAGGTAACAGGAAATTTGTGCAACATTTTTCTTTCAATATTTTCTTAGAGACATTTAAATTATGTTTATTTCTCCCAAAAGATCAGACAGACTGATTTAAGCAAAATTCAAGGTTTTACATAAATAATATTCCGTGTTAGACTGTGAACTTCGCTCATAATCAAAATATAACTCTACTTCTGCTTCAAAGTTCATTTTAACATGAAAACATTGAGCGATCTTATTAATGGGTGCGTTCTTCAGAAAATTACACAAAATTGCGACCGCATCTTTAAAATTGGCGTCATTGTACTATTATAAAAATCAATACGTTACGTAGGTATTGATTTTTATAGTACAGTGACGTAGTATATTATCCGGTAGCCCCGGTGGTACGTCAAGTTGTCAAGTGTCTCAAAAAATCAGAAATGGAGATATTCAGCTTCGGAAACTATAAAATAATTCACAGTATAAACAATGTGTCCATACAGTGTAACATAAATTTGTGCAAATAGGGACCTGTAGAAAGATTGTTTTCTTGAGAAAGTATTGTTCATTACAGAACAAGAGGATGGTAGACGGTATTCTAGTGCAAACTGGGACCTGTAGAAAGATTGTTTTCTTGAAGAAGTATTGTTCATTGCAGAACTAGATGATGGAAAATGATATTCTTGTTATACCGATCAATACGCTAGACCGGATTAGGTCTGCTTATTGGCTGGAAAATCATCACCTACCACCTGACTGTATTTGAAATAAATGGTTAATACTGTACTTTGTGTTTCATATTTCAAATAAATATTATGTGTAGAAAAGCCACCTATTTAAGGTGCCTTTTTTTGTAGTTGACGGGATGGTAAATCCCGTCGGATTCTCTGCTTCTTGGGGATTCAGGAGTATGCGGTGATTCCACAAAAAACCACCCCCACAGCCGGCTTCAGGCTACTCTCGGAGGAGCCGGGCCATGGGATTTGAGGTCCTCCTCGAATCGACACTACGCCTAATCAGGCCCTATCCCGGAGAAGTGACTTCTTAACAGCGGCGTGACGGCCCGATTGCTCTTAATGTAATCAGGCCGCCATTCTATTCTCGTTATGTAGGTAATTACACTTAATACAAAACGTTTTGTGAAGAATTTCGTGTAGACTTCAATTTTTGTATTTCACTTTTTAAATATATGCTAGATACTAGTTAATTAGAGCATAGCATGTTGTATTCAGGTCAGATGTAAAGAAACGTTTATAGGTAAGCAGCCAGTAGTTGGCCAACCAGAGAATATACTCTGACCAAATGTGATGAAGATGGATTTAGGATGCCTAGTCCTGACCTGCCTGGTCAGGACTCATCAACAGCCATTACTAGGCCACTGCTGGACTTAGGACTCTTCTTAAAAAGGAGGGTTTGGCCTACTATACCACGGTGGCCAGACGGGTTGGGATAGGGTTTGTTTCAAGTTTTCCTTCTCTTTGCAGTGTTGTTGTCCTGCGTAGTTTATTCCCTTAGTCGCCTCTTACGACACCCACGGGATGAGTAGGGGTGATGACCACCGGATGTGTCACCACACGGACAGGTCAGGACTAGGTATCCTAAATACATCTTTATAAAGCTGAGTGAGCAAATTTGGTGCTTGTTGGCAGTACCTATATTTTAAACACCCGTGATTCTTGAGTTAAGGGTAACTTATTTGAGGATGGGGGTGAAGAAAATCAAGCTTAGTTTTTTTTTTTATTATATCTTGATGGTAGTAATTACGGGCGGCATATGGGAAGCTTCGTCATATCGCCGATCCCGCAATCGCTAAAAATTAAGGAGTTTAACCAGTGCGTCCTACCCGTAATGACATATGGAGGCGAGTCGTGGACTAGCTGTTGGACTGGTCCACAAGTTCAAAGTCGCACTGCGTGCGATGCTTGCTATATCCCTAGTCGATAAAATTAGTAACTATGCTATTCGACAGAGAACTAGAGTAACCGACTTCGCACGGAGAATTAGTCATGTCATGTTTCCTGGCGGACGAATGGTCGCTGGAGTCGACAGGTGCTAGAGTGGAGACCGCGATTAGGCAAACGTAGTGTAGGACGCTCTGCGATACGTTGGACCGATAACTTGAGGAAAATGGCTGGCAGCGGATGGATGCGGACTGCCCAAGATCGGGATAGTTAGCGCTCTTTGGAGGAGGCCTTCATTCAGCAGTGAACGGCAATAGGCTGGAGAGTAGTTATTATTGTTCAAATGATAGTAGGTATGAAAAGTAAAGAGGATTTTTTTTTGTATTTTAAAACATTTACAAGTGATACAATTTAACTTAACATTTTCTTTGTCTTAATACTATGTTTCTCTGGTTGCTTCTTTATATTGTTCACACCAATGATCAGGAGTCTTCCCAAAAGCCTGAAAAAAATTATTGTAATCCTATACATTTTGTAAATTATTAATAAAAATTTATCTACGTGGGTAGGCGGTGTTAACTATAATACGTAGAACAGAATTAGATATAAGATTTGATACACACTTTATTTATTAGTTCCTAATTATTTTTACAAGTACACCCACAACTAAAAACATTTTACATAACTACTCTCTTAGAATAATAATGCCTACAACTTTTCCTTTCCTTTTCATATCAAACAAACACGGGTAAGAGGAAAAACGCCTATTTACGCTCGGCGACACGCACACTGAGGTACAAGTAATTTGCTATTGGAATCAGATTTTCCCCAAAAGTAGGGAAATTAGCACTCCTTTTCTTTTTTAATTTTATGGATGATAATCTGAAATAAGTAATGTAGGAGATTGTAGAAATTTATTTTATTAATACTAACAATCCTTTTTTTTTTTTTTTCGTGCGGAAATCCCCTCGGATGCCACCTGTCGGTGGCATGTCGGACTCGAAACGACTAAAACCGCACGCCGTCTCGGGTACTAATAGCCGGGGAACCAGGTATACCCTAGAAAGGAAGTCCCTGGTGCCCCGACATACCTCGGGTCATCTACAGACGAGTAGACGACCCCCCCCCGTGTGGGAACCCCATGTTCCCTGTGCTCCCTGGAAGCGAGCGCGCTTCGCAACGCGCTCGCCGCCACCCCGGCCTGCTTCTGCTAGGGTGACAGATGGCCTCACCTGTCACCCCCAGGCCTGCGCTTATGGAGGACGGAGGTCGTTCTGCGACCTCCGGCGCCTGAGTCGCCTGCGGTACCTGGCCCGTTCCCGGGATGGCGGGCCGGGAGAGTCCTAAACCTCTCCCGGTCCCGTTCCGCCGTCTCCTTCGCGAGCATAACTTGCTCGCAGAAGGAGACGGCAGAGTTCCACGCACTTTCGCTCCGCACGATAGCCGCAATCAGGCTATCGAGCGAGAGAACTCCCACTCCGATGGCCGCCACGAGGTCTCGCCTCTGCTCAACCCACGCCGGGCACTCTGCCAGCGTGTGGAGAGCCGTGTCCACGGTCTGGCCATCGCAGTGGTGGCACTCAGGCGTTGGCTCCTTGCGGATCAGACACAGGTGATCCCCGAAACATCCCTTCCCAGTAATCACCTGCGTCAATCGGTATGAGAGGGTCCCGTGACGCCTCTCGAGCCAATCCTCCATAACGGGTCTTACCGCCGCGATGACGGCGTGCCCGAATACTAACAACCCTGTGCCAAGGCGTGCAGTGCAAGCGAATTACATTACCTACCTATGCAATAAGTATTTATAATTTTAGAACATAAATATCAAAATATGGTTTTACTTTTTTGACTGAAATTTTGTTTTTATTTTTGCATTGGAATATGATATACACCAAAATATTAGAATAAACGTAATGGAATCTTATGTTACAATGTTTATGATTTTCCGATGTACTATGCACAAATTGTCATTTTGAATTAAAATTACAAGAGTTGTTGGCACTACAACTTGACCTTGATCACTGACGCCGGCCGTTCGTTACTACGCGAAAATGGCTTAGTTTTCTTATCGTGTGTGTTCTCGGTTTCTAGGCGTTATTATTCTAAGATTATCCTCATAACAATTGGTAACATAACATATTACTTCTGCGAGTTCACTAAAGTGATTTACTTGTCACTATGTCCATCTTATTGTGGACATTATTTATAATACAGATTGTTAAAGTGAGTTCTTTTACAGTCGGTTCTTTGAGAACCGCCAGTAGTTCGCCTTAGCCTAATAGCCTTCGCATCCACACATACTTGTCGGGCGCATTTTTGTAAAAGCTGTAATATTGCCGAATTATGTGCTTATATATCTATATATACTAGCTGACCCGGCAGACTTCGTACTGCCTCAATTGATAAATAAAAGACTTAAACTTTTGTATAAAATAAACAAACAAAAGGAATCCTTTTTTTATGAAAACAATTAAAAAATGCACGGAATTAAAATAATAATCGAGCATTTTCATATTTATTCACCGTTTAAACCTTCTCTGGACTTCCACAAATAATTCAAGACCAAAATTAGCCAAATCGGTCCAGCCGTTCTCGAGTTTTAGCGAGACTAACGAACAGCAATTCATTTTTATATATATAGAGATATAATACAAGACTAGTGCACAGTCTGTTCTCACTGCCAAATGGGTGTATTCAACCATACCCAACACAAACACGGTAGGATACATCAACGAACTATGAAGTGACATTACTTAACACAACATAAGACATTGCTTTGAAAAAAAAATGGAATGTGCGTATATACCTCAGCCATTTTGTTAAGTAAGAACAACTTCGAAACTTCGTGCTCGGCTCTCTGACCCCACGTAAATTCACATCTTGTAACATTGCTTTCCGTAACCTGTAAATGTCAAATAGGTAAATAAATAACGACATTTACTTCTAAATTCAATTTATATACACATATATTCGTTAGATAGTAAAGCTGGCTATTTGCAGCTCTGGCCAAGAGCTATAGTAGACCTAAAGTGTGTGGACTAGAAAAGGCCACTACGACTAGTAAAGGATGATAATGATAAATCCTGGACCTATTGCTTCCAGTCCACAAGAGCAATATCATTTTTTTTTTATTGCCTTCCATGTTTTATCTTTCAATACATTGATAGGTTGGCCCTCTATGACGTTAGTCATGCCAAATTATAGTTTGAAAAATATAGGTGTATGATAAACTTTTGCCTAAGGTAGGCAAAGGTATAGACATACAGGCTTTGAGTTTGTGTTTGTTATTGCATTAGTATATCAAGACTTTAAAACTGTTGCAATGTAAATTTAGAAAATAACAAACATTGTGTCTAGATAGAAACAAGATTTTTATGTCATCGCCATCATCATTAACAACAGCCTTTAAAAGTCCACTGCTGAACATAGACCTTTTCTTAGAAAGGAGGTTTTAGCTTACTATACCACGCTGGCCAGACGGGTTGCAGTGCTGTTGTTATGCGTAGTTGCTCCTTTAATCGGCTCTTACGACACTCACGGGATGAATAGGTGTGGCGACACTTCGTATTTTACACCACACGGACATTTTATGTATGTATGTATACGAGTATATTTTGGGTATATCGGCTTTTTACGTATTTGTGTGTTGGAACCTCTAAGTATATATAAACTTACTTTAACTTTAGAATATTCTAAGTACATCTGCCTAGTAAATGTGGTGGTTAATAGCTTTCGGCTGGCATGGTCGTTTTCTTCTAGTAAACCAGCATCCGTCAGGAATTTATACATATCCTCTGTAAAAGATTGAATAAACTTATGTTAATATTACCTATGTAATATACTTACAATATAAATAAATTATACATAAAATTGATTAATTCTACCCACAATATGCACGGATGGCGTAGTGGTTTAACGGTCGCCACGCCACTGACTACTACGCTAAGTGCTGTGGGTTCGATCCCCACATGGGACGACACTTTGTGTGATCCACAAATTGTTGTTCCGAGTCTGGGTGTTCTTTGTGTCCGTTTCATGTATGTTTGTAAAATCCCCCGCGACACAGGATATATTCCTGATGCGGGAGTTGTCTTTTTAAAAAAAAAAATAAAAAAAAATCTCAAAAAATATTTAGTTTACTGTTTCATCACCATCTTGCCCTTTTCAAATTTTTATTTGACGTCGGTGCTGTGTGTCATTGGTTTTGGCTGGTTTTTATATGGCTAATCAACCTGGACGAGGATCGAGGTAAAGGTAAAAATTAGGGTAAAGGCCCATGCACACAGGGATGGGATGGCAAAGGATACCACAAATCTTCGATTGGGAAATAGTGCTGAGACTGGAGTAGCTCGAAGGGGCCAAGGGGTCATGTATCCGTGTGCCTGTCTCAATAGACAGGCACACTTTCCCTCCCCTTGTGGCCTCTGCAATCACTATTGCAGAGGCCACAAGGGGAGGGAAATCAACTGGCAAGTTGTTTTGTTTGAATCATAAAGATATAAGCATAGAGTGTACAAGAGCCACAATCTTGCAATATAAGCAACGAGAGAGATGGATAATAGATAGTTCACTCTATCTCTGTCTAGTTGAACTCTGTAGTTGGCTGGGGAAATTTTTAATCTCCCGCCTGTTCTTCGATCAAAATCATGCCCACTTAAGGATAGGCAATCGCAGTGTAGCTAAAGAGAGACAGAGGGAACTATCGGGCATCCATCTTTATCATTGCGTATTTCGCTTCTATTTACAGGCAGCTGTAGCCCGTGTTCTCTATATGCTTATATCTCTATAATTCGGATACACAATTTTGTTTTTAGATACAAGGGCCAAAAGAGAAGATGGAAAGTGACAATCGCCGTCCATGAATGCCTGCAACTATCACAAGCGCGATGCCGGCCATTAAGGTTAGAGTACGCTCTTTTCTTGAAGGTTTGGAGGTGTAAATATATCATTTAATATAATACTTAAAAATTCTGCCAAAGTTACTATGACTGTTTCATTTTTATTGATCGTAAGATACTTATACATATTAAAAATGTATCAATGCTAATGGCAGTGCCATCGTTTCTGTGTGACGCATGACACCATTGCAGCAGGACGTTAATTTATATTTAATATATCAGAATACTTATCGCAAATTTATCTGATTTTACTTCAGATGCCTATTTAAACTAACCTTCTTTGACTGGTGCTCCACTCATAAATATATGCATAAGCGCTGCTATTAATAATTTACGTTGATGCTCATCTATGATTGGTGGTAAAATAGATTTACATTCTTGACTCAGAATTACTATGTATTGTTTACCAGCATTGGCGGCCACCTCCAGCAGTTCATAACCATATACCTGAAAAAAATTCACTGCACTTCAAAAAGTTTGCAATGTTTATGATTTGTGGTACACACAACAAAATTGAAAACTTGAAACTTCAGGTTTACATGTGTGTTATTCCAGTAAGTATTTCATTACATGTGTGAATTGTAAATAACTTGTTTCTTCATTTATACATTCATCATCAGCCTTTAATAGTCCACTGCTGGACATAGGCTCCTTTTTAGAAAGGAGGTTTTGGCATACTATTTATACATTTGCAAACTATTATTGTTTCAAAACCTTTCTATGCTTTTAGTTTATATTTCTCTAGTAATCTTTCAAAACCTAAAAACAAACCTTTGTAAGGAGAGGCCTATGTCCAGCAGTGGACTGTTATAGGCTGTTGATGATGATGATGAATTGTTTAAAATCAGAGGTACTTTGTAATACCGACTAGATTTTTTGTTTGCTATGTGTACGTTTTTCTAAAGAACTTAAGGCTGCAGAAGCAGTATATCAGAGCTTTAAATCCAGGAATAGTTAACAATCATGTCATTGTTTGATTTTATGACTTTCATTGATATAACATAAGAAGAAACTCAATAGGATAAAGTACCCTAAAGCAGAAATATCAGAAATCTTCAATTTGATAGTATAATATGATTTGGATCATCTATCGACCATCACTTAGATATTTTTTGTTCTTTTAATAAGACAACTCCCGTCCTAGGAATAAATCCTGTGTAGTGGGGGACTTACAAACATACATTAAATGGACACAAAGGACACCCAGACTCAGAACAATAATTTGTGGATCACACAAATTGTCCCATGTGGGGATCGAACCCACAACACCCAGCGAAGTAGTAAGGGGCGAGGTGACCACTTCAACCACTACCCTATCCGTGGAGTCGTAGCATATAAAGCAATTGTAGCCGTGTGGACAACTGGTACAACCTTTAATAGTCCACTGCTGGACATAGGCCTCTCCTTAGAAAGGAGGTTTTGGCCTACTATACCACACCCACTCACTATTTAGTAACAAAACCAAAACCTAGTCAATGAAGATATGGTTATTCAGAAGCTCTTATCGAGCAGTATAATAGTTTAAAAAAAATACTATTGTGTACTGAAAACCGCGTAAAATTATTTTAAAGATGAAAAAAATAATAAAAGAGAAAAATGTGAATTTAAACAATACAAACCTTTTTTAAAACTTTGTTAGCTTCGACAATAATAGCAGACACTTGATTTTGGGGTGTTTGGCACACAGTATTAAGGTGTTTATTAATATCGCCGCGTTTTATCGGTATTTTGCCTCCTTCTCGACAAAGTATATACCGGACGCATTCTTTTATCGCAGGTTCAAGTTCACTAATATCGGGCCTTGTATCTCTGGATTTGTTAACTTTCCTTTGACTCATTATAAAGTTTTCTTTTGATCTTTGTGTAAATTGTTGTGGTCACAATATAAGAATAAAGTATATAAATAATGCTAGCAAGTAACAAGCACTACTGACAGTTTGATGGATTGTCAAATGTCAAAGGTGTGACGTATAGCCCCATAGTATTAATATTCATGACCATAGATACAAGTCTTTCAGTCGAAAACATAGATGGGTTTAAACTTACTTAGGAATAGCCCCATAGATTTGACCAGTGCTGCCAACAGTTAAATGAACTCTTCACCAGATTCAACATCTAAAATCACTAGAAAACCGCTAACGAAAAACGACCCTACTCTGATAGGCACTACATTTTCCACTAAACAATTTTGTTAGTAATTATGAAATAAAGGCATAAGTCTATTAATAACTAGTTTCCTTTATTAAAATGTAATACTGATACTAATCGTTTTTGTCAGCACCATCATCGTCGGTTCCAGATACCGCACGCCGTCTCGGGTACCAGTAACTGGGGAACCAGGTGTACCCTAGAAAGGAAATCCATTACACCCCGACGAACCAAGGGCCACCTACGGCGAGTAGATGACCCTGTCCTGTGTCATCGTTCAAATAAAAGACCAAACCACAATCCAACACGTGTATTATTTTAAGGTGCATTAAAATGTAATTAAAAGTTATGCCCACTCTGATGTTAACGTACGTAGGAAGTTCCTGACGTAAATAGTGTCCTCAAATAATAGCAACTAAACATATTTATGTTTTCTTCAACAAGTTAACCCAATTTTTAGTCAAATAATTAATCAGTATTTGAAAATAAATGCACGCTTCCAAATATCTTTGGGCTTCATTGAAGTGAGAGACTGGAGTAGACCCAAACTCTCCCATTTATTCGGTGTTCTGGTTCCATAACATGGCCAACGCAAATGACTTTCTTGAAGATTAAAACATTAAATATGTTTCATATCTGTTTAAACACCATGAGGAGACACTGGGGCTGCATCAGCATACGCCTTCACTTTAGGAATAGAATAAACCTTATCAACCACTTCCTTGAAAGCAGGATACTCTTTGGCTAGATCTGGCATCTGCATCATCGCCTTCAAGTAGTCAAACATACCGGCAAAGATGAAGTCACCCCATGTTAACTGAAACAATGATTATGAGTATTATGAGAGAAAAGTATTAGCATGATATTTCTTGAAAGTCGTAATTTCTAGCATACGAGTTAACAATTTATTGTTCTTTTCAATTTGAAGTAGTGAAATTATAGTGATTTGCTAATGAGTGCCAAGCTTTTGATCAGATGCCCTATAGGGACTAAATCAGAAACTTCTCAAGCATATTCTGAGATTACTTCAAAGTCCAGAGTTTTGAGCAAATATTTTTTTTGCCCATAGAATCCTTGTGTGTTTTAGGGCACACACTGAGTGCAGACTTGTACAAAAAATATTACTCGCACTGGAAATAACTCAAAAGTAACTTTGATAGAAACTAGTTACGTAGGCAAAGCTATTACATAAAAGCTAGGGAGACAGTTTTTTCCAGAGCCACTTTTCAGTGTGTTCAACGTGAATTTACTTCTGCATTGTGTTAGTAATAGTTTAACTTATGTTTCAAACCTTTCCTGCTGCAACATGTCCATTGTTTTTCACAATGACAGCGTTCAATTTCTCCAAAAGGCCAGGGTAGTGCGTTTTTACTAAATCTTCCTGTTTCTTTGCTTTGAGATCAGGATCGGATTCATAGTGTACTCCAGCAGCCTCTATTAACGTAATAAGAAAATTGCTTAGTTTGAACGTAATAATTTGTATAGTAATGATTAATTTCTTTACTATTATTTATTTTTAAATTGTATAATCGTTTCCTGTTGTAACACTTTTAGGCCCATTCTCATATGAGCAAGATCCTGTTCCTTTGCTATAACAAACACTACTTCATTAATAGAACTGGAGAGCTTGATTGTGTTTTCAAAGTCCCTATATTTGAAACTAATAATCGGATGTTTTTTACGTTTGCGGCTTGATTCTAGATCACATTTCTAGACAACATTCTTCTAGTCAAATTACCGTTATGTTTCAGACCGTTTGAAACGGATTACTGAACATGAAACTTGTAAAACTGCATGGAGGAGCTGGTTCTTCTTTAAAATGAAAAAAAAAAAACATAAAATAATGAGCGTCCTCTACACGTTTCTATGAGACTAAGAGCAGTTTTTAACAGTAGAATTTTATTTTAGGCAAGTATAATACTAACTTGCACGAATATCATAAATGAAGTCCACGATTTGGTCAATTTCCAAGGCCTCCTCATCATTATCTCCCGCGATTTCAAATTTCTTGCCCAGGTACCGGCAAATAGCGATGCTCTGACCGTAACGTTTCCCATCGATCTCCAACACAGGTAGCTGTCCGAATGGCGTTTCTGAAATTATCCGTCAAATAAATTACTAAATAAATTCTTGATTCTTGTCACAGCTTTATTTAGCAGAAACTTTTACTTAACACGATAACATTTTAATAATCTGTATGATCGGAGTAATTACTGATATTAGAACGCGCAACAAATCTTTGCGCCAATTACAGTATACAGTCAAATTCGACCACTATAGTCCATCAACGTCGTGCGCGACCGTCCTGCGGGGTGACAGACGGTGGCGGGGATGAGGTACTCAAGATGTCAGCGGGTAGCGGGTGGTGTAGCGGGGAAGGGAAACACTTGTCTTCGTGTGTAGCCGTGTGCTAGAATGACGCGCTACCTCGCCCCCGCCACTGTCTGTCACCCCGCGGGACGGTCGCGCACGAGATTGCCGGGTTATAAGCGAGAATTTCAAGAACTTTAGGTATGGTATGTATTTCTCATACGATATACGTTTATTGGTGGGTCAAGTTAATAAAAACCCACCCCATTATTACCAACGAGGAACACGTGATCGCATCAAAATTTAATTCCAGGTTCCAGGCCAAGGTTATTGGACAACTGAACAAATAGGCAAATAACTGCTCAATCGATCTACATTTCAAGTCTGTCTAGTAGGAAAGCTAGTAATAATATTTTTTTGTTCCAAATTGGGTAACTTCCTACGTTCACCGTTATTTTTTACTTCTATGTCATTTAATATCTTGAAATACTCATAAAACGTTTAGGATTTCCACTTTAATTATAATTAGCAAACCATCATGGAAAGTTAATTATCTAGGTATACGAATGCATGAACGTCATGCCTTGGTATCATTCAAAAGTGTACGAAACGTACTGTTTTCCAACCAACTACTTAGGAAGTACTTAGGACCTTCCGTCACCAACTAAGGCTATTGAGTATCTGCTACTTTCAGACCATCATATAGAGGTATAATTAAATAAGTCTCGGTTAATTTGGAAGAACAAAACAAACAATTAGTTGCTTCACTCTAGAGCTTCACAGCCTTTAAATAATAATAATCAAATTTAAAAATCTTACGCAATGTAATAAATAAGTATAAACTCTTTATATAATAATTATAGACGGTAACTGTAGCAAGCTATTTTTAAATGAGTATAGTAGGTTCATACCAGCTTTCAAGTCTGGCCATTCAGTCTCGAAGTCGACGCGGTGGTCTTCGAACTCCTGGCCTCCATAGGACAAGAGCAGCCTAGCGCCTTCGCCGAGCGCTTTCACTTTGAAGTAGTATACAACAAACTTTGTCATTTTTCTGAAAATAAATGAATATGACTTTGTGTGTGTTACAGGTTACAGCTCAATATTATTATTACACATAGTAGAGTATTTTATGTGAATTAACACGCCCACGATTCCCTTAAGCATAATAAGGATAATAATAATAAGACATAATAAGGATGTATAGTAAGGAATTCCATAGTTTCAAAGTAACTATATTTGTAAGTATTATCCCAAACAGAGGAAAAAAGTAAAGTGTTTGGCTATTAATAAATATAGATAGATACATATTCAATAGGTAGATAAAACTTGATGACCTATTTGATTGTATATACTTGTTCGAGTAATGTTATGAGTATGAGTAACTAGGGTAACCATTTGTAAACACAAATCAATATTATAATAGTCGTTATAATAAATTCCTTTAAAGAAAGTTGATCCGACTTCAAACAATACTAACAATGGGCACTAAAAACCTAGCAGAAATTGCCGTTGATTTGCTGTCATTTTTTGAGGAGTTCCGTTGTCTGTCTCCGAAACTCATCATCAGATCTAAACGAAATTTAAATGAGACCATTTCGGGATAAACCATTTTCCAAAAAAATATATTTGAAAATCCATCTAAATATGACGCCATTATGCACGAACTTACACAAAAAAATAAAAATAAATACCCGAATTGATAACCTTCTCGTTTGTGAAGTCGGTTAAAAAAAAAACACGTAATAACAAGATCTATAAAATCCATTTTTAAAGTGAAAACATCTTTGGGCGCTTTGGGTATTTTTCAAAAACAAACAAAATAATGTATTTTTTGAGATGGGAAAAAACCATTGAACTTACCGTTACCGTTATCGACACCTCTGTATATAAGTATAGGTAACCCGTCTGCTGATTTAACCCCTTACACTATAAAATAAAAACAGTGTCCGACAGAAGTGAAAACTAAAACAATTAAGTGTGTATTCTTTTCGATTCGAAGTGTTCCGACATGAATATATATCTATGTTGCAAGTGTATATACTTATGGGTACACTTACATATGTTTACATTACATATTTATATTATCAGTGTATTTCAACCCAAACTCAACTCTCGTGTAAACGGGGCCGATATATGTAGATACTTATATACAGAGGTGTCGGTAACGGTAACAGTGTCGCGAGTTCAATGGTTTTTTCCCATCTCAAAAAATACATTCTTTTGTTTGTTGTTCAAAAATGCCCAAAGCGCCTAAAGAAGTTTTCACTTCAATAATCTCACACATCTCACACACGGCTGTCTGATCTCAAACTAGACAGAGCCTGTATGATAACCAGACTGCTGATAAACATACTTGTATTTTTCTAAACACATTCATAGTATAGATAAATTACACCCAGACACAAAACAAGTGATCATCCTCCTGGGTGGGAATCGAACCCACGACCTCCGGCTTAGCAATCAGGGGCTTCTTACCCATCAAGTATTTTTACATTATTTTTTTTAATGTTAGAGGGGGCAGACGAGCAGACGGGTCACCTGATGGAAAGTGACCATCGCCGCCCATGAACGTCTGCAACTTAGGAGTCACAAACGCGTTGTTGGCCTTATAGGAAGGAGAACGCAATGTATTATATTTTATGTATTTACTTTAAAATTGTGTATTTATCGGTCTTCTGTAACATGATACATGTTATTATCAGTTTGGCTGTAGATTTCAGCATGTGATAGAGAGTTGTTTATGTCACAAACAATCTATTATAAATAAAAATAATCAATAGTTACTTGTTCGTATTCAGTGCGCGGCCGTACCAATTATTCGGTCGCCATGAAATTTTATTTAGGTACACGTTGCCAGGGCTACGGATAAATCATCATCATCACCACCATCATTATCATTTACTAACCTTTTTTCCCAATTAAACTTGGGTTAACATTGTAGGTAAAGGGTTATTTATCAGGGTGTTCATGACTGTTGTTGCCGAAACCCTCCTATTTTAGAAACAACATTGAACAACGTGTGGTTTGAATGTGTTAGATTTCACCCACCAAAAATATTTTCCTTAAAAGCTGGTCGTAACTTCTTCCCCAAAACCCTTCCTCCCCCCCTTCTGCACTTAGTTGCGGCCGTAGTCACCTATCATTGGGTTGATATCCAGTAGACGCTAGTTATATTACCTAAGTAAGCTTGTTAAAAAATTAAGGTAACTGCCGTCTTTTTATTTGTATTTGGCAAGAAACAATACCTATAAATTTAATACAAAGCGTTTTCTACTTATGTAATCACTGATACGAGTATTTATCTGTATGACCAAGACAACTTTCTATAGAGATTAAAATTCTCAATCTTGTTATTTATAAAAATAATAATATAAATGCAATATTCTTACAAACATGAAAAAAATATAGTAAATTGCGTTAATAAAAAAGTACTATATCTTTTTGTTATAAGATGTTTCGACCCACTTGGACCGACTGTTGTCAGTAGGCAATACTATTATGTTTTACAAATCATCGAATTACTGTATTACTTATAAGTAAGTTTTTGCATTTAATTTGATTTGATGTATATAAAAGCTGGACATAGGCCTCTCCTTAGAAAGGAGGTTAAAAGCTACATTGCTGTAAATAATCATAACAAGTTCACGCTATGACGGTCCAAGGATTTGGAAAAATAGTGTTCTTTAATCAGTGACATCAATGTTTATAACCGAATTTGTCTTTCTCTCTCTCTGGTGAGAAGCAAAGCTTTCATATGGTAAGAAAGAAGCAAAGTGTAAGAAAGAAGCAAGTACCGGTATGCACTGATATTTTTGTCCGGTGTATGGGGCCATCCAAAAAAAAACAATAACGTTAAGAGTGCGCGGGGTCAATTTTCTAATAATATTTCTGTACTCTGTGGGGGTCAAAAAGAACTATTATGTCACAAGAAGCGGGAGGGTACAACATTTTGTCTCACAAATGTGACTATCGGTGAGAATGATGGGTTAAAAACATGATAAATTCGTAAGAAATTAAAATCAAGTATGGCCTCGAACTACAATAACACTATCAATTATGTTTTTGGTAACACACAATAACTATATGTTTTTTTTTAATTAATAATTATTATTTTTATTACCAATAGTCGTGGATTATAAATTCCCAATGTAGCCGAAGTGATTTATCAACATTTATAACTAATCAATGTACGGATTTTGTAACAAAACACTCATGATAAAAAAAAAACAAAAACGTATGACGTTGACGATATTAAATCTTACTTGAGTTTTTACACGGAAAACGGACATCGAAAATCAGACACTTTATATATATAATATAAGTGTGAGATTTATGTTAATTCTATTCTTCCAATAGATATAAATATTTCAGACAACATGCCCACTTTTATATAAACGACATAATATTCATTTTCATAGTGATAAGAAAAAACTATTTCAAACTTACCTGTTAGAAGTGTGTCTTGGTACGAGACCAAACGAATACTGACGCAATTTTCGTACTTTGAAGGTTTATTACAAAGGTTTGATTGGTAAACTAAGCTCCGGCTAGGTTTATACGATAGTTATTAATTTTAACACGCTTTTAGCTTTATTTGTAACATACTAAATATGTAAGGAAATCTTGGTAGTGACTTTTAAAGTATGTACTTCTAATTGTCTATATATACATATAATTGCATGAAAAATATTGTAATTTAGCATCTTGGAGCCGATCTGGCTATGGAGCCAAGATATGGATCTTGGAGTTCGTATCTTGCTACTAGTGAGCTTCTTGAATTTGGGTTCATTTGAGACGTTTTGAGTCCGACCTTTTTGATTTGGTAACGATGGTATAATGATAGAGCCGGGAAGTTTATACTCAAATTATTTATTTGCTCTCTTTATATAGTTCGGCATTAAGACGTGTTTTTTTTTTGTTGTAATAAACTGTATTTATTATTAGTTATTGAGGACTCTGACTTCTCGGCAAAAGTTTGTTCGATTTGCATCCCTATTCTATTATTTACCCTGTCTAATTCATCCGTATAATAAGCATTATCCTTTTTTTTCCATAACTTTCCTTCTTGTAATCTACTGGCTGACCCGCGCAATTATATGTACAGTGCACAAGCCTTCTCCATATTGTGCATAATATAATATGCGTTTTGTATTAGCACGACGTCATCCAGGAAGTAAAATTAAGTTAAGTTATTAGTGTTCCACTTTAAGTAACTAAGGTATTAATACAATTATTAGGTAAATACAATTTGATAAGATTAGAGTTAAGTAAAACTAGATTTTAACATTTAATGAATTTGCGAATATTTTACGAATACAAACATAGGTAAGTTTCACAGTCTGTGCCTCGGTGAGCACGTTTAACTGTCAGTCCCGGCTGCCATAGGAACATCTGCGGCTGTGGTGATCGTTACAGGTAGTTGGAGGCTATAAAATGTTCGACAATTGTCTTTCTACAGAACTTAGGATGTGGAGGTCTGATGGCAGTCACTCCGAGTAAAAAATTGAAGTTCAGGCGTATTGAAGAGGACATAAAGCACACCCTTGCGAAAAAGGTTCGGAGGAAGAGACATAGTTTTTTTATTTTATTTATTCAAGGCACAAGGTTACAGTTCATGTAAATACAGTAACAGTGAAGAAAACCACAGGTGGTTTATGTATCACTGCCATCATATATGTTTTTATACCTAAATAATTTTTATATATATTTATATGTGTAGTTTGTAATAGTTTCAGCTCCTTCCTCTGCAAAATAAACTTTTTTTAAGAAGCGTTTTACATTTCCGCGGATTCTCCGAGAGTTTATCTACAATCTTGTTTTTTAGTTCGTTAACGTCATCGTCAACTATTCATGAAGGTGTTGACAGAATCGTCTGCCGGTTATAATTTTAGTCCAACTTACGTACTAGAGGTTAAGCCTATTGCCTTCGGCCATGCAGTTTAGAAATTAGATGGGAAAATTAGAAGTAACATGAGAGCAAAGGTAGGTAAGAATAGAAAATAATAGGTTTCTACTAATTCCTATGAAATATTGTTTATTAGGATGGATTGCGAACTGTGTAAGATACTCAGGGTCAGGATGGAGGATTACTGCTCGACTATATCTATTGTTCACGTTAGTGGAACAGTGTACAGGAACGCAGAGCAACACTGGCTGGTCAAAATATTAATCAGCAGGTGAAAGCTGTCATTAAAGAATATGAAATTAGTATGTGGTCCATATATCGTGCCTCAGAAAGCACGTTAAGCCCTCGGACCCAGTTGACATTCGAACATTTGTAGCAATCGTTACGGATAGTTGGAACCCTAAAAAGTACGACAACAGTCTATGTACAGAACTTTTAATTTCGCTTAGTCCTTCGTTTGTGCAGGTCTGATAGCAGTTACTCCACGTAAATATCGAAGTTCAGCCGTGTCGTAGTACACTGAAAGCCGACCCTAATCTAGTTTGGGGAAAGGCTCGAAGGATGCAGATGAAGTGGTCTTACATGCATGGCTGCATGCAAATCCGAATATGTAAATAATGCTATAATATTGGACTCACTAGCCGTATCCCTGAGCGCCGAATATCCATCACGGACGCCATATAAGTAACATTTTATAGATTGTATTAGGCATATGATGATGATGAATTCATACTTCACCGTCAGGCGGTTTCGGCTTAGTTCAACTGCACGGTGCTAATGTCTGATTAGCGAATTCAGAACGCTAAACTGAATTGAAGAATAGAAAGTGGAGGATCCGTACTAAGTAAGTGAAGATAGTCAAGTCCTATTTTGGATAATGGACGATATAGATGGGAGTTAATTAAACATTAGGAAATAACATTTTTTTTATACAAATGGGGCTGGTAAAATGCATCGTCCAAGGAAAACTTCGAGTATTTTCGTTGACTGTACTGAACTTAAATCCAATCGAATAAGATTGCCTACTCGAAGTCGAATCCCGTCACCTTAAACATCAAACATTTCTTTCCGAATGACTTAAACTCGGTAGATAAATTTAGAATGTTAAAATATAAACAATTGTTGGCGGTCTTACTAAAAAAAAGAAACAAAGCTTAGATTATTGTTATTCTGACATTCAATTTACAGTTAGTTTTCTTCAAGGTTATTTTAGAAAGAAAAACTGTGCATGGTTTTAACAAACTATGGCTATGATCATCTAAATAATTCGAGAAGGAAATTCAGGTTTTCGACATAATGACATTCGAGAAAATGAGATGTCACATCTGAATACGGAACTCAAAGGACAAGTAAAAAAATATTTTACAAGCTTTTTATTAACTTGAAATGTATGTATCACTTTGTTCGGGTGGAATCTTGCTGCTGAAAGCTGAAGCTGAAATTTTGTGTAGATGTTTTAGTTTGGGTGACAATGCATGGTATATGACGTCATTCTAAATCCAACATGGCGGAACACCCAAGATGGCGAACTAGTTTTTTTTAATGCACTCCTAAAATATGGGTATCAAATGAAAGGGCTTGCTGAGAATAACTCAAAAAAATCTTGTTTTTTTTTTATTTCTTAATAACTAAAAAGTTACACGATATCATAATAACATAACGTGATAGGAAACCTATAATGTTCTAGTCTTATAATGTTTTTTTTAAAAGCCATAGAGGGATGCAGGAGCAGCATCAGCGTAGGCCTTGACCTTTGGAATAGAGTATACGTTATCGACGACTTGTTTGAAGGCGGGGTACTTCTCCTCGAGGTCTGGTATCCGAAGCATGGCTTTCAAGTAGTCCAATAAACCAGCAAAATGGAAATCTCCCCATGTGAGCTGAAAATGGAGTAATATTGATTAAAATTTTGATAATATCAACGAGAAAAGCATTACATATACAGGTTGTCTAGATTCTCATCCAAAGCGACTAACTATCTTCTTAGAATTATTGCAAAACGTCCTTGAGCACGTCGCACGGGTAAATTAAAGGGTCGAAGAATAAATAATAAAAATATCAAAGTAAATTTTGAAAGCGTAACGAATAAGCTCATATTCGCTTGTATACCTATTAATGCTACTGAGGATGTCTGTGTATCATATTTTTTAATTTGGGTGTTCACCTTGCCAGCTGCGAGATGACCATTGTTCTTGACAATAATGGCATTGAGTTTTTCTAGAAGACCAGGATATATGTTCTTCGCGGCATCTTCATGTTTCTTCGCCTTCACTTCTTCATCAGCTTCGTAGTGAACTATAGCAGCCTCTGAAAGAATAAATTAAATCAAAATGATAGACTATTTTAAAATCCAAACAGTTTTCAAGTTAGATAGGAATTCAAGACTGAATATCTAATAAAAAGACCTGTCAAGGAAAAAACAACAACATGATCACATCGCTGTCTGTCTGACCCGAGCCTTTTTTTAATTTAGGATTTTAGGAAACGTAGTAAAGAATTTGAATATTGACGTATTGGTGTTAAGCGTTAATTATATTTCAGATGACCAGGTGGTCTTCTCATTTGCACCTTGTACCATGAAAAATACAAGTGGTAAAAAGTATAAAATCCCTTGTAACACGCTGTTCTCTCTCCTATCTTTTATTATTATATTTAATAATACTTCATAATACTAACTGGCCCGTATATCATTGAGGAAGTCTACGTTCATGTCGATCTCGAAGGCCTCCTCTTCATTGTCTCCAGCAATTCCATACTTTTTGCCCAGGTACCGACAGATGGCGAGGCTTTGTGAATATTTCTTCCCATCGATTTCCAACTCTGGCAACTGTCCGAAGAGTGTATCTGAAAAGCGAAATGGAAATAAATATGCCTTTTAATAGTAGATATAAGTTCTGCTTTGTGGAAGAAAAAATTACGAGATTTCTAGATCAGATTTCAAGTGAAGTTGGAATTTATATGATTATTTTTACAAGAGACAGCAGTATTGTCCTAATTCTAATTGACAGTAATAGGCAAGGTAACTCTTGGCACTCGAGGCAGAATACTATTATATCTGCAAAAATGAACCTAATGGCATTACTAAAGAGTCTTGGGTTGGTTGGTTGGTTATCACGTTTATCAATATAGGTTTCTTTTTTTCAAACAAAACAAATCCCGGGCGGATTTGTTTTGTTCAGGTCTAATGTAGAAAAAGTTGCAAGAAAATTCGTCTATTTACAGTCGATTTGTCCATCCAAAGGTTGCCTGCAAGAAATTGTTTTTTCTGCTATTAGCCCGAAATTTGTACATGTTTATTAATTTGATGTATTCTTGTTGAAAGCACAAAATTGGTGTACAATAGTTTATTTTATTCGAAGTATATATTTTAGTCTAGTTGTTATACAACTGCGATGACTCATCGCCAAAGTTATTTAGATTGTCGGCTGATTGAACTGGCGGCCAAGGTCACGCGTCGACATGAAAATTGATCAAATTATTTTGTAATTTTGTATAGTCGTGACAAATAAGTTATGTCAAGGGGCCTCAGGCAAACGTTAATATGTATAATCACATGTCACGTTAATATATATAGTTACAAGTTTTAAACGTCCATATTTCGCTGACTATTTTTATTCCCACTCAAGCAATAGGGAGCATTTGCCTCCAACCAGGAATTTTCCAATTAGATGAGAAATTTTGGAATTTAATATGATAGGAAAACCAAAATGTTAGATAAAAAGTCCTAATACGAATGGATTCATCTCAATCAGGTCCAGCTCGTTTGATCAAAATAGAAAATTATTTTACTGGACTCTACAAAGTTAACATTCACTCATAAATAAGACCTGCGTCTATTTGCATTATTTGTTCTAGTATTACTCTTTTATTTGTAGATTTTTACGATAGCTAGTCTATAAATAACTTTACTTTGGAGAAACATTCTCATAGAATCTCTAACCAGACGAAAACATCCAGAAGTCTCAAGGCAACAGTTTTTAACCGCACCGACGATCAGCCATAAAAGTAACCTCGGATTTAATACGAAATAAAAAAAAGTTTTTATTTTTATTTTGTAATAAGTCACAGTCGAAATAACCAATACTAAAATGCGTCTCTATTATTAAACCTAATGTACGAAGAGGCTCGTTACACTGAAAGAAAGCCCCTCTGTTGGCAGGGCTTGGTCCCCATTTCTGGGCAATCTATTCATCATCATCATCATCAGCCTATTGCTACTGCTGGACATAGGAGTCTCCCATTCGCCACTTAGATCGATTTTGGGCTTCTCGCATCCAGCTCCTGCCAGCCATCTTGCGCAAATCGTCACTCCACCTGGCCTTAATCTATTCACTTGGACTATTTCAAGTTAACTATAATCCCCTTTGTTAAAACGTACAGAAACGAGTCACCTTCTATGTCCCGGTGAAAAAATTAACGGTATGAATAGATCACATGATACTCTTATACGCAGAGTTGAATCCATTATGCAATTTCGGTTTGAATGTACCTTTTGATATGATCCACTGAACAGTCGATTAACGAACAGTGGTTTTTCTTCATACGGTCAAATATTTTATTGGAGTAGGTAGAAGGTCACTGAATCTGAATGTTAATGTTATAAATACTAATGCACACCGACTTCTGTTTTCAAGATGAGATCATGATATTTTTTGTGGCACATGTATTTTGCAACCGCATTATTTGTGTCTGCTTCGCTCAAGGTTGCCTGAAGTTTTTAGTGTTTACCCATTTTTGTTACATTACTTAATAATAACCAAAGTTTTTTGGTCCGTTTATTTCAACTTCGAAGTGTTCATGTCAGTTCTGATATATTAATCTTTCCATTCCTATCATTATTCGTCAATATTATGATTCACCAAATCCTATTCGTTCTAGTTACCATTCCCTAATCTATGTAGTCAATATATGGTCTATTCTCGGTGTTCTTACCCTCAGTTCTTTTTTGAAACTCCAGATTTTCCTATCTCTAATCTTAAAAGGTTGCCAGCAAAAAGACGTAAGTGAGTATAGTTAGATAAATGCACTTTTTGAATATTCTCTGCCTACCACGTCAGGGTGCTTTTGTTTGTTTGTATGGAAACATCCTCGGACCGTCACTCCACCGGGGTTTACGGTGGGGCAATGTTTCGAAATCGAACCGACTAAAACCACCCGTTGTGCCATAGTGCACCTTAAATAACAATGGATTCGGGAAGGGGATTTATTGTGACATCCGAACAAGCGCGTGTTAGGGTAAAACCGGTTCAGTCCAGCCGTGGCTATACTCAGGGTTTTTTTCTTTTTTTTAAAAGACAACTCCCGCACAAAGAATAAATCCTGTGTCGCGGGGGACTTTACAAACATACATGAAAAGGACACAAAGGACACCCAGGCTCAGAACAACAATTTGTGGATTACACAAAGTGTCGTCCCATGTAGGGATCGTACCCACAACACTCAGCGTAGTAGTCAGCGGCGTGGGGACCGCTTAAACCAAAACGCTACCCGTGCAGTCAAATTCAGACTCATGTGAAAATTTCCCCTGCCTATCTCTATTCTTATTGCCAGAGGCAATGTTGGCCCGAGCTGTAACCCTGACAGGTTTAGAGAAATGTGGGTATAAGCCACCATTTCGAGAAGTTCGATGGGGGGTTTGTGGCTTAGTCACCGTGTTGTTTATAGCATTCATGTCGGAGTGCTATCTCTGATATAAATGCTGTGATGGATTGCAACACAATTCCGATATATCACTTTTATCACGCTTCTGATACTGGATGTACATATGTAAAGTAATACTTATCACAAGGACAGTAAATATTAATCAGTACAGGCATGTTTATCACACCACCACCAACATTGGTGATCTATTTATCACTTACAAAGGATGTTATAATATTGAGTTACGGTTTTGTAAATGGACTTCCGTCCATTGTATTTCAATTCTGTCTAACTTCCGGTATCAGTTGGCTTGATAACCATTTTAGTAGTGATGGAAAAGCAAGGCTGAAAAGATACCAGTTAGCAATAAGTTCTTACTTCCAGGTCCGTACAAGTCTATTCTAAACAATAATCTTAAAAAACTAGCGGACCGGACCGGCCACAGATTATTATGTTACTTATAGTTATTCTAGCTAATAAAATGTACAGCAATACCTTTTTACTTTCTTCAAAAATTTTATAGACGTCAAAAATGAGGAAAGACACAACGTAAATGTACCACTTATCACAATGACAGTAAATATTAATCAGTATAATATGGATATGAATTATTTCTGTGTATAAGAAATATTTCTATAGAAATAGGGTTGATAAAGTATAATGAACAAAAAGGTTAAAATAAAAGTAAATATAAGTATAAGGTATTAGGTATATGTATATATATATATGTTTATGTATTTTTTATGTGTAATGTGAACAGATGTACATATGTGTATGAATGCTTTTGTTGATATTTTTAAATATTCACGAGATAATGCGTTACGTGTATGCAAACTACCCAGATTTTTAAATATCTAATATCCGTATTAAGGTTGCCTGTAAGAGATCGCCGTGAATTTTGACGTGATTGTTACGTCTATATATTTCTAAGTAACTTATGTGTTAACTGTATACAATCATCAACAGCCTTTAATAGTCCACTGCTGGACATAAGCCTCTCCTTAGAAAGGAGGTTTTGGTTTGTGTCAAGTTTTCGTTCTCTCTGCAGTGCTGTTGTCCTGCGTAGTTTTAATACTGTATACAATAAAGATATAAATAAATAAATAAATATACTAACTACTACAGCGACGTGTTAGAAAAAATAACAATACTTACTTGGCTTGTACTCAGGCCACTTCTCCATGCTGAAGCGGACATCTTCGAACTCCTGGCCACCATATGCCAAGAGTAAACGGCCGCCCTCACCTAGGGCTTTGCATTGGAAGTAGCGGAACACAACGTGAGGCATTTTTCTATAAAGAAAAATCCATTTATTGTTTAAATCCATTATGAAGCTCGTACGTTTTCATACAATATATTTTCGGCTCACCTAACCTCACCATAAATTATGTTTTTCTTTAGTGGGACTAAGCCCTCAAACGGGCCGGTCTCATGCGCCCTACCCTGGGGTGGACTTTGACCATGTGATTACTCGTTGCGCCTACCCAAACCCTATCCCGGGGGTAGTTAGACAACCTAGGTTCTACTACCAACTGCTTTTTTATTTACAGACAACTCCCTAGGAATATGTCCTGTATCACGGGGGACTTTACAAACATACATGAAACGGACACAAAGAACACCCAGACTCGGAACAACAATTTGTGGATCACACAAAGTGACATCCCATGTGGGGTTTGAACCCATAACACTGCGCGTAGTAGGAAGCGGCGTGGCGACCGCTTAAACCAGTACCCCATCCGTGCAGTCCTAACTATTCCGTAAATAGGAACTTTCATGTAACGATATAACTTAGCTGGAATATCTTTATAGACATACTAGCGGACCCGACAGACGTTGTCCTGTCAAATTTGACACTGCGATGGTAGCGCCGTCTGTCTGATCCAATGTAAAACATTCCAAAATCAACAACTACTAATAAATTAAAAATTAATTAAAAAACATTGTCCAGCGGACAAAATTGTGAATCTAAACCATTCCCAGATCCCCTTGAACACACACAAAAAATTTCATCAAAATCGGTCCAGTCGTTTGAGAGAAGTTCAGTGACATACACACTCACAGAAGAATTATATATATAAAGATAACTTATCTATGTATGTCTAGATATACTGATAGCGCCGTGGAAACAGTGTCCAACTGTTAGTCACTAAGTTCCTTTCTGGTTATCGCTGTGTTACTTGAAGGCTATTGTTTAATCTAACCCCACATATAGTAAAATATCACGTCAAAAACGCTTTGTGCATCTAAAAATAGTAATTGAGCACCGAAATTAAAACCTTATTTTTATGTGAAATTAAAAAATAAATTACAACTTGCTATCCCTCAAACTAATCATAGTTAATCCAAACATAGTAAATGATCACCAAATTTTTTACCATAGTTTAATATAAATGGCCTGTTGTTTTAAGGTTCAGATTGGCGATTTTAGAATGCCACTTTCTTCTAGCACGTTTGCTAATTTTTTTAATTAAAAGAAACTGTAAACAAGTTTCATTACGATTTTTGAGGCATTATGAGATCCATACTAATATTATAAATACGAAAGTGTGTTTGTCTGTCTGTCTGTTAAACTTAAAAAGTCAGAAGTAATAGTATCTTAGTCTGCTGGCTGATATTTTGTGATCATTTACTACTTTTAATACAATCGAAAGTGCATTAAAACTTTCTTTTTGTGGTCATTATATTTAATTCCTGACTTTAATGTCGTTGTCACTATACGAGCTCGAGTTGCACGCATAACATTTGAGTTTTTTTCTGTAGTCGGACACCCAATCGAGATATATCAATAAACCAAATTTATAAAAGTTACACACATTATTACTCCATTTCAGAAAAAAACTAAGAATTTGTTTTTTAAATGAACCAGTCAAATAAAATATTATTTCAGAGTTAAGTCAGCTTCCAATTATACTAGTAACCTACCCGTTATTACATGTCTAGTTACAGATGAGGACAATAAATTCTTTGAATATAAAACACAAAAAGTTGTTTCTAACTATGCCCATCATTAACTTCAAACCAAACAAACGATGTGTCCCAAACTGGTTTTATTACCAAGGCAACAATACGAAGATAGCTTTAGAGTTTAGACCACTAAAAAACAAAAAAAACATCGTTAATCTACTAGTATTAAGATAAAAACTCACTCAATAAACAAAATTTCATTTTTTAACAGATTAACAAAATGAAACTTTTTTTGGCGTACCTAGTAGCACACGCCGGGTATCCTCTAGTCAAATAAAAAAAATGTTTTGTACACGAACTATGTTGTTTTTATACGAAAGTGGTAAGTTCAAGAATTTTATTAAATACAAAATATTCGATGTAACGCCACTGAATTTCAAATTACAAGGTCGAATCTTCGAGAACGATCGAAAACATGCACAAATTGTCTATCGGTATTCCAAAACCAAATTAAAAATAAATGTCTCAGTAATTTTTAACAAAACTTTTTATTTAAAGTCAGTTAGGTATATTACTTAAAATTGAAAATACTCACGAGTCTAGTTTCTGTATGTTTCTGTACGTGTGGAGATGTAGTCTCACTCACTGTGGTATTTTTATACTGTGTTGTAACCGGGACGGCAGCGCGATCGCGGACATACTGCTTGAATATTCAAGGACGGGGCGATGCCGACACTCAGTCGGCCAAAGAACAAAACGGTTTAAGACAAACAGCGGCCATGACACATCGAATATCTGCTGCATTATTGCCGGCAGCATAGGCATTATAAGCCTGCATCCATTACAGATAAATTTATTTTTAACATTTATTACTTTTTAATCAATTAAAGGAGATCGAGTAATGGAAATTAGTGGTATCCGATTTATCAACTTATGCGTACTAGGTGTTTGTTTTAAATAGTGTAATGTAGAAACTTCCTTGTAGTAGCTACCACTTTAGAGTCGTTCACCTTTCCATGATTGGATAATCGGGAAACAGGCGACTTCTACATCGGCAGACTAGACTTTCGGGCTATCTCGTTGGTATTTATCATTGAGTTAAGGAGTGTATAACAGATCAATGATATTTATAGGTTTTTTTCGAAGTCACCGGTCAGTTTTATAGAAGAAAATTTATTCTCCTGTCAGTCGGTCAAATACTAAAATTATCTTTATTTTTTAGGGTTCCGTACCTCAATAGGTAAAAAGGAACCCTTATAAGATCACTTTCTTGTCCGTCTGTCCGTGTGTCACCACCGATTTTCTCAGGAACGGGTAGACCTAGCAAGTTGAAATTTATACCAGACACTAAGGTCTATAGTCCCTATTAGGTGTATAAAAATCAAGCTCCTGAGTCTACACGATAAAAAGATATGGGCAAATTTCGATTTTCGCGAGAACTTGTAAGTACCAAAATTTACTTGAATTTTCAACTTCTTTTATTTTTCAGAATTTTCTCTTTACTTGTGCTGTAAGACCTAACTTTTAACCAAAATTGACAATTCTAGGTCAACCGGAAGTACCCTACAGGTTTGGGGTCAAAAACCTATATGGTAGTTGACCTACAATCACGAAATTTGGCAAAAGAAACGTCTTACAAAAAATAAAAAAAGTTGAAAATTGAGATAAATTTTGGTACTTACAAATTTTCGCAAAAATCTACGTAAAATCTGGGTAGGTACGGAACCCTCGGCGCACGTGTTCGACTCGTACCTGACCGGTTTTTTTTGTATTTCTTTTTCTTAGGACTACCACGCCGCCGGCGCCGATGGACAGAATCAGAGAAAGGAGGAGTCCTTACGTAAAACTACAAAAAATGACTGAAAGTCAACCCAATGTGCGAGTTTAATAATGCTTTAAAGATATAAAAAACGGCGTTCCGACCGGGGGTCCATGGACGAGGGGTCCATGGACCCCCGGTCGGAACGAAGTGCCTTTCGCTTTTTGGTAGACGTTTGCTATAGTGTCGGAAAAAAGTCTTGTTACACATTTTTAAGGAAGAATAGGAAGATAAGGAATAAGGAACTTCGTTTCAAAAAGAAAAAGTCAAAACCATTTTGCAAGGAAATGAAGGACTGCGCAAAGGAGGATGTCGAGTGATAGAGGAGAATGAAAAAGGAAATTCATTGCACCAACCCCAAATAAATCTGGGTAAATGCTAAGAAGATGATGAGGAAAATGATGCTTCTTTCAATCCACATGGTCGTTACTAAAACATCAATCTTCAATTCTACTGCAACTTTAAAAGCAAAAGAAATATTGTACTTACTTTCCACTTTATTGCACTACTTTCGTAGCCACTTATTTTTTCAGATTACAATAGTTTGAAGATTAAATAATCTCAATCTTCAACAATCTCAGCGATAATCTAAATGTATCTCTTGACACTTAATTTGACTTTTCTACCATAGACGATATATTTTTGACACTTAGTTTTATGTAAAATTATTCTAAGTAAAAAACGTTATAAAGTTGATTTTACTTTGACTACATTTTATAAAACTGTTTTTCTTAAATACGGTGTTAAGTGCCAGCACTAGTATCTATAAGTAAAATGTTGATAAATTTATGAGCACTTGACTTTCTGCTGTTAGACCGATTCAATTAGGTGAGAAATATACAATGGTATCTTCTAATGGACAAGTTTTTGAAGTAAAACTTCTTTACGAACGCTTGACTTGGGGAGTAAGCTGGTGAATGGGTCACGAGAGTGTTACGGAAAGTGTGATCGGACGAGGCGAACGGAAGTTGAGAGGGAGATATAAGTTACTGAATATAGAAAGAGAGGGAGTTACGTTTCGTAAATTACTGTGGGGGCAAGAGAGAGAAGTTTTACTTCAGTCGTGTGGTCTAAAGCACACTCGTTTTTTTACATTAAGTATTTTTGCAGTTGATGCAGCACAGACATTACTCCGGTTTTCTTTGATGGATAAAACTCTCTTCGCGACATTTTATTCATCCCTGCTTACCGAGATAGATTATTGCTTCTGAACTGTTTTATACTATATAGGTTCGCAACTAATTTATTTATTTTATGTTAGAGGGGGCAGACGAGCAGACGGGTCACCTGATAGAAAGTGACCATCGCCGCACATGAACGTTGCCAGCCTTTTAGGAAGGAGTACGCTCTGCGTACTGCTCTGAATTGTTCTAGTGTTAACAATTTAGTGTTGATTTATCATAAGACATACAAACAATTTTTGAAATGAAACATCTTTGTAGGAAATTTCACTTCCTCCCATTATACGAACGCAGAAAAATAGCGAATATAACATTTTATAAGGGGTTACAAATGGTTTAGTTGATGTTCCTGAGTTGGTTGTAAAGAATTTATTAAAGCAATGCAGATCTCCAGGACAATATCATTGAAGGACGCACCAAATATATGTCTGAAATCCAAACTTTCTAAACGGAAGCTTCAGGTCCGGGTCCGCTTAATCTGGTCCAAGTTACTAAAATAAGTGAAGAGCTCTTCCCCAGGAAGTGATGCAATAGCTTAGTATTCACTGAGCAAGGTCCGAATACACACTTGTGTGTGGTTGTGTTGACTCTTGAAATATTATATCATTATCCACTATTACTCCGACTTATTTCATTTTTTTATATATTGCTAGCTGTACCCTGCCACGCTTCGCTATGGAGCGCTTCGGCTTGTAGTTGGATTGATGAGAAATGAGAAACAAAAGTGTCCGTGTGGTGACGGATTAAGAATACAGAGGCACCCGCGGGATGAATAGGGGTGGTGACACCACTCCTATTCATCCCGTGGGTGCCGTAAGACTAAGGAAGCAAACTACGCAGAACAACAGCACTGCAAAGAGAAGGAAAACTTGAAACAAACCCTATACCAAAAGATCTGGCCAGCGTGGTATAGTAGGCCAAAACCTCCTTTCTAAGAAGAGCTTTTTTCTTTTTAAAGGCTGTTTGATGATGATGAGGAACAAAACTAACACAAACAACTTAACATTTTTATAAATATAGAGAATCAGATAATTATCTTTATCAGTGTATCTATGGTTTTCCAAGGGGAGAGTGCATCACTAGTTGCTTGGCCCCTTTTTGTGCCCCCCCCCCCCCCCTGGCCAGTGGTCTCATTTTGTTTATCAGATATTGTTTTATTTATTTCTAGTATCTATTTTCTTTCGATCTGCGTATTGCTGTAATTAATTTGACAGGCGTTTACAACAAATGATTTCTGCGTATTGCTATTATATTTTGTAAGGTGCGATATGTTGTAATCTTGGGGGCTTGATTTACATTGTATTTTAAAAGTTCTTAATTACAATTTTTATAATATAAATTGTCCAGTCCAGTATTTGAATTCAGGGAAAAGGTTTGTTTTTAAAGAAATATTTATTTCTTTATTTACTTATTTCATATTATGTTATGCTATAATATACGTGAAGAAGACCTCAAAACAAATATTTATTGGGTTGATAGTATAGAGTATTCACAAATTATGCCTAATATAGATATAAATTTATTTTATAATTACTTTATAATAGTTAGGCAGTATTAAGGAAAGTCGTAGTGGTATCTTCCATTATTTTTTTTCTTTTTCAAATAGCAAAGAAAAAACAAAATCAAAGACTGTACATACATAAAACAAAGTCTTTATTTCAAGCTACTAATAAATTAAATTCCACGATATTGCTTTAAAGTTAAATTGCAATAAATAATGAACATCACTTGCTCTGTTTGTCACAATAAAGTTCGCCATTTTGTTTTTTTAGAAGCCCATTTGGGAAGGTGGAGCGGCATCAGCGAAGGCCTTTACTTTTGGAATGGAGTATACGTTGTCGACTACCTGCTTGAAGGCAGGGTACTTCTTCTCAAGGTCCGGCTTCTGCAGGAGGACCTTCAAGAAGTCATATATGCCCGCGAACAGGAAATCGCCCCATGTAAGCTGAAAAAGGAAAGAGATGATCATAATTTCTACTAAGATTATGATTGCGAAACTCTCTGTCTGTCTGTTATGCATTCCGCCGATTTAACCTTGTACCGATTTTGATGAAATTTGACATGAAGATACTTTGATTATTGAGAAAGCTAGTATAGTATATATGAATTCTTTGAAAAGTTTGTAAAAGTTAAAAAAAAGTGCCAAATAAATAAGTTGGAAACCAAAATAGTCTTTATAATATTTACTATTATGTACTCTGTGCTTTAAGTATCAAAATTATTTCATAACTTTTAAATTATCAACATTTTGATACACATTTAAATTCTTTTGAATAAGAAAATATTTTCGAATGAGTACAGAGTAGACAATGATCGATTTTGGATAGATCTCCATATTTTGTTTAGCTACATTACTATTTATCCAGAACGTGAAATCAGTTGTCGTTCAGAAGGTCATTAACGCATCTCTTGAACAAATTTTTTGCCGTTTGGTCCTAATTTTACTTCATTTTTAAGGGGTTCCCTATCTCAAAAGGTAAAAAAGGAAAGATCATTTGCTTGTCCATCTGTCCGTGTGTTAAAACCGATTTTCTCAGGAACGGGTAGACCTAGCAAGTTGAAATTTATACCACATACTGAGGTCTATGGTCCCTATTAGGTGTATAAAAATCAAGGTCCCGAGTCAACACCATAAAAAGATATGGGCAAATTTAAGTAAATATGGAAAAATAATAAAAGTTGGAAATTAACATAAATTTTGGTTCTTACAAATTTTCGCGGTACGGAACTCTCGGCGCACAAGTTCGACTCGTACCTGACCGGTTTTTTTTAGATTCAGATCTTTTAAATATGTTTATATCTTAACTAATTCATAAATATAATTGTGAGTTTATTAGTTGGGACAGGGATTGAGACAGTTATGGATAATTTTTGGAAAGGTTATTAAAAATCTGGATGTGTACCTTTCCAGCTGCGATATGGCCTTTGTTCTTCACGATGATAGAGTTAAGTTTATCAAGGAGGTCCGGATACACGTTCTTTTCGGCATCGGCTTGTTTCTTCGCCTTGATTGTTGCATCTGGTTCGTTGTAAATGGAAGCCGCCTCTGCGTGAATAGAAAAGCCATAGTGAGTAAGTTATATTTTTTTTTTTTGGCGTCCGTGGCTGTCCTTATGGCGACGGATTAGGAATACGGAGTATTTATCCCGTGGGAGTCGTAAGGGAACAAACTACAGGATAACAGCACTGCAAAGAGAAGGAAAACTTTAAACAAACCCTATATCAACCCGTTTGGCCAGCGTGTAGTAGGCCAAAACCTCATTTTTGGAAAAACAAAGCGGCAAACTTGATGGTAAGTCACTACCGACACCAATGGACACATGACAAGAGATACAAGTGCGTTGCCATTACGTGCGTCACACTCCAAGAATTTGAGGCTCTGGTAACATCACTAGCACGGTCGGTGAAAAGCAATGAAAAAAGAACAGTGGCAGCGGGAGTGCCGATAGGAGTGTAAACTTATACACAGAGGTGTCGGTAACGGTAACGGTGACGCGAGTTCAATGGTTTTTTCCCATCTCAAAAAATGTATTTTTTGTTAAACCATAAAATTCATTATTTTGTTTGTTGTTTAAAAATGCCCGACGAGCTTAAAGAAGTTTTCACTTCAACAATAGTTTAACGCCGGTTTTCTATGAGACCCAGGCATCACTCCAGTCGAGTCGTCCCTCTAAGCAGTAGAGGCCGTCCATAATTAGACATAGGACACCTATTAAGAAGGCATCATTCAAGTCATTGAACTTCGAAGGAAACGCCCACTGTTCAGTTGAGATTTTTTTTATGTCATCCGTCCACTTTGTGGGCAGACTAGTTAGGTACATCTAATATATAAAATTCTCGTGTCACGGTGTTAGAAGTTGAACTCCTCCGAAACGGCTTGACCGATTTTTGTGAAATTTTGTGTGCATATCAGGTAGGTTTGAGAATAGGCCAACGTCTATTTTCATACTCCTAATAATGTTTTTTGTCAAAAAAAAATGAAATAATGTATATGGCAAAACAACGTTTGCAGGGTCAGCTAGTTATGTATATATAGTTTAAAATTACATTAAATTACTAAATTCTTCACAGTCTTCTTTTTATTTAGCTACTGATGCTGTGGAGAACAATCTCTATAAGTTAGAAACTTCAAATAAAATAAATAAACACAAAAACAGTTTTCGAATAACTTACTTAGGCGAATGTCGTTGAGGAAGTCGACATTCTGGTCGATTTCGAAGGCCTCCTCTTCATTGTCTCCGGCAACTCCGTACTTCCTGCCCAAGTAACGGCTGATGGCAACGCTTTGCGCGTACTGCTTACCGTCGATCTCCAGAATGGGCATTTGACCGAACACGGTCTCTGGAAAGACGGAAAATCATTAAAATTTACCACAAGAAGAATTATCCGTCCCAGTTGTAACGGATTAAGAACATAGAGTGTCACAACCCTTATTCATCTAGTGGGTGTCAACAGCACTGCAAAGAGAAGGAAAACTTGACACAAACCTTATACCAACCCGTTTGGTTAGAGTGGGATAATAGGCCAAAACCTCCTTTCTAGGGAGAGGAATATGTCCAGAAGTGGACTGTTAGTAGCTGTTGATAATTATTCAGTTTTCTCTTTTTTTTTATTACAAGGTTGATCCGTGTCGCTCCTTAGTCTTAAGTTTAAGTTGAATATTAACAGTTTCCCTGCAACTCAACCAATTTAAGTGGCCTCGAATCAAACAGTTCGTTCAGTCATATGTTCTTGGACATGTGGCGACTTCTAGGTACATACAGTGAAACTGAAAACATACTACAGTACCGTAGTAAGTGTTAATATCCTGAATCGCGATATGAAAAGTTCGCACACCGATTAGCATATATAGAATTTCCCAACTTCAACGTTGGAGGAACGTAACAATCATTGATCCACAACCAAAAAGGAAACAAGTAGAACTGGGTTATGTGATTAATACTACCTCAAACCATTCACCATGTTTTCTAACCACCCATACTTTTAAATTATAAATGTAAAAGTGAGTTGGTTTATTTGTTACGCTTTCACGCCTAAACCACTAAACCGAGTCAAAAATTAAATAAAACCAATGGAAAGCTACATTGTAGTGTCCGACCGAATGTTCGGTTTCGGTTTCGGTTTCGGTCGAGTTTCGGCAAAAAAACGAGTTTCGGTTATGTTTCGGTTTCGGCAGCAAACCTGCCGAAACTACGACCGAAACCGAAACTGCATTCGAGAGTTTCCGCGCTGTGCTCGGGTGTGATCGGCGCGGTAAATGACATCCAAGCGACGATGACATTTGGCCGCGTCCACGTGCGTAATCATATCGTAACCTGTTTGTTTGCAGTGCATTTTGTTTGTTGTAAGTTTATCATTCTGGAGAACCACAGCCATCTTGTTCATCTTGAATAGTGTCTTCGGAAAAAGCAGAATTGCTTTGGGACGCCCATGATAAATCTACTTGTAACTTTATAGAAACTTCTGGTGTGGAGAACAGTGATTGTTTAACTCAAATTAAGCAAACTATTCAGGCATACTTGTCAGAGCCTAGATTACAGAGAAGTGCAGATATTTATTCTTACTGAGATTATAGTCCATATCTGTCTTTGAGAAAGGTGGCACTGAAATACTTATCAGCTCCACCAACGAGTGTTTCCAGTGAACAATTATTTACTGCTGCTGGACAAATTTATTCAGACAGAAGGAGCAATCTGCGAGGCGAAAATGTTGATAAACTATTGTTTCTTACCTATAATATAAGATTGTTTAACTATGAATATTAATAAGAAGTAACATTTAAGTACAGATACCTACTGTATACTGAACTGACTGATTATATTAGATTTTCTTTATTTTTTTCTGAAAACATGATCCTTATAAAAAAGTTTCGGTTTCGGTTTCGGTTTCGGCCGAAACTGAGACCGTTGCCGAAATTCGGTTTCGGTTTCGGTTTCGGTCGTAAAAACCAGTTTCGGTCGGACACTACTACATTGTTAGCGAGTAACATAGGCTAGGTACTTTTTATATCGATAATCGACACACTCGGGCGACAAAGCTGGTATGTTTATATTTTATTTTTAACAGTATGTATATGAACTCATACCACAATTCATACTTCCAAATTAAGGATCAAAAATATCGTAAGATAGGGATTATCAAGCTCACAGGGCATAATATTTATACGTCGAAGCTTCTCAAATCTTTTCTTTTTAAACTGCTCACACATGTTTATCTGATCCCAAACTATGTACTCAAGTACCTACTATGGTAATCGTGCTACAATGACGACTTCTGATAAAAATACTTTTATATTTCTAAATACATACATATAATAGATCAATTACTACCTGACACAGAACAAATAATCATGCTCATCACACAATTTTGTCCTAGGTGGGAATCAAACCCACAACCTTTGGCTTAGCAGTCAATATCACTAACCACTAATCGAAAGATATATCTTCTAAAAAGTTTTAAAATTGTCGGGTCATTTATTAATATTTATGATATAATTATAATGAATATAAAGTTCAATACATATGTGTAGGTACATCGACAGCTTAATTATGTAATAAGATTGTAATCAATTGATTTGTTCCTTATCTATGACATTTTTATCATAACTGCATATACTGTTATCAAATTTCATCAGATAAATATTTTCATCGTAAAGTGGTTTACACTCATCATTGCAACGTATTTACAATTGTACCTACATACGTGGGGTTAGATCAACAAATGTGATATTGGGGCAGAATTAGGTATTTTGCTCACGCTATGAAGTATTATTTTCGATTTCGTGTCATTCGTTCATACAATAATGACAAAGCATTATTACGACAGTGAAGTGTCATTCTTTTTACACGCTTTATATTAGCTTCACTTGTATGTTTGTTTGTATGTTTGTAACCGACTCCTTTGGGCGTGATTTTAACTGACTTTAAAAGGTCAGAATTCGTTCAAACTTTGTAGATATATTGAGGACCGATGTCAATACACTAATTTAAAAAAAAAGCATGGGGTGCTTTTTACTATTGACAACAGGCACCCAACGCTTTTTTTCAATTTTATTTTTTATTTTTTAGTTTGGTTTTCTATAGAAAGCGTGTTTTTTAATTTTTTAAAACTATATTTTTTTTTGTATAGGGGGCGAATGACTAGGCTGAGGTTACCTGAGAGCCAAGTGTGAGTTTAATTCTCATCTACTCAAAGGTCACGGTGACCGCGTTCGGCGATACGATTGGTCCTCACTGAAATATCAACCAATCGCAACGCTAAACGTGCTCGCCGTCGAGGGTGTAAAATAAACTTGCCATAGGCCTTCCGATGGTTTAGGACCTGAAATAACATAGTTCGGGTATTCCCAGAGTAGGGTGCCTGAGGCTGGGGTAGTTTTTAGTGGCATCATTAAATATTCTTGGCTCTTGAGTCCCCATGGAGCAGGAGATACAAAGGGATTACCACCCGTCAACAAAAAAAAATACCCTCTGATGATAAGTGGCTAATGTGTGTGTCAGGTTAATATTATTATAATAATTTGACACATTTCATATTATTTATAATTATTACTATATTATTATTGACTGCACGGATGGCATAGTGGTTTAGGCGGTCGCCATCACCTCGGCGCCGGCGCCGCTTCCTACTTTGTGTGATCCACAAGTTGTCGTTCTGAGATTGATGTTTGTAAAGTCCCTCGCAACAAAAGATATATACCTACTCGTACATTGCGGCGTACATACTAGTGCGGGAGTTGTCTTTTTTATAAAACAAAAAAACTAAACGGGTGCAGTTTAATTTATATATTCTAAAATAATCCTTAATATATAATCTACCTAATACAATATATTTTTTTGCCAGATATTAGTGCGACTAAACAAACAAATAAATTCTCGTTTTTGTTATATATTAGTAACGAAGTACAGATAGTGTACATGATAATGCGACCACATGCCCATAATTTATCTATTTATGGATATGTTTCAAAGTCAATGTTTATGATGATGACATAAATTGTAAAGTCATTCTGTATTATGTCATTATGATAACATATCGCTGTGTCACGGTTATGTAATAAAAATAAAAACACTCATACATGTTAACTTTCGATGTCTTTAACAGGCTTATAGCAGTAGTAGGGTACGCGACTGTAGTCCCTGAAGCCTCGAGTTGGATTCCCTGGTCCGGGAAATTTTTATAGGGTTTTCCGAGACGAAAAATAGCCTAAGTTACTCCTTATATAGACAACTACCTGGTAGTAAAATATTATCAAAATAGGTCCAGACGTTTTGAATATGACCGGCACATATAGTCAGACAGTCTAAAAATATTTAAACTGGATTTTAGGCATAGGTATCGTGTAAGCATTTAAAAATATATTGACATTACAGACGGAAACCAATTTTATTTATTTGTATAGATAATCTAATATATAAAATTCTCTTGTCACGGTGTTTGAACTCCTCCGAAACGGCTAGACCGATTTCCGTGAAATTTTGTGTGCATATCGAGTAGGTCTGAAAATCGGCCAACATCTTTTTTTCATAACCTAAATTTTATTTTTAGACAAAGAATTTTGAAATATAGTATATGGCAAAACAACGTTTGCCGGGTCAGCTAGTAAACTATACAATCGCTGAATCATAGTTATTATGTAATAAGAATAAAAATACTCATACATGTTGACTTAATAGGTATTTTTGAAATAAAAACAGATATTGGGAGATAGCGTCTGCGTTGCAGATGTTTTGCGATAACTTTCTTTGGTATCTAACGAACTCAAAGTACAGTGATATTAAGAAAAATCATCATCAAATCATTTGTTTTCCAAGAAAGTTAACGTTAAAGTTAAGAAAGTAAAGTTAAGTTAGTTACTTTTTAACCGACTTGAAAAAAGGAGGAGGTTCTCAATTCGTCGGCTTTTATTTTTTATGTATGTTCACCGGTTAACTCCTGAACCAATTTGGAAATTTCTTTTGGTTTGAAAGGGTATGCTTCCCAGTTCCCATTTATATTTTTTCAAAATCGTTTGAGCGGTTTTAGAAAAATCAACAAGGATCAAAAATTGTATACATCTATGTTTTTTGTCGTCCCATGTAGGGATTGGACACACAACACTCAGCATAGTAGGAAGCGGCGTGGCGACCGCTTAAACCACTGCGCCATCCGTGCAGTCAGTCAAATTAATAGAGAACAGGTCCAGACAAGAATTGTCACATTGTAATTTTATAAATAGATAATTATACATTGTAATTAGATATTAAAATAGTTTATTGTACGTATAGTAATTAAGATCACTGTTTATATTCAGTGAGTGTTTAGTTTAGTTAATTTTTTTGTACTGGAATGGCATGTAATATAAATGTTATGTATAGGTTTGAGTAGACAATCGTATATAAATACCAATTATGTTTTTGCTTTTTAGTTCTTGGGTATTTTATGAAGGCTTTTTATTTAAAATTAATTTTAACGGGGCCGTTCTTCTGTATACTGCCACTTAACCACTCACAGAGGCCTTTTAGTTATTCGCGTAATGAAATGAAAAAGTTATTATTTTGTTGTATATTATTAATATTTGTAATAGTCGGAATTTACGTTTGATTAAAAAAACTTGATAAAGTACATACTTGATTTATACTGGGGCCAATTTTCAGGGGCAATGCGCACGTCTTCGAATTGTTGGCCACCGTAGGCGAGCAGCAGCCGGGAACCTTCTCCCATTCCCTTGGCGGGGAAATAGCGGAACACAACCTTGGGCATTGTTCTGTAAAGAAAATAAATTAAGTGTAAACATACACACATATATGCTAGCCCCCCGAAGGGAGGGCTTTATTGAAAACCAACATTTTGCCAACCTTGCATTTTACTGAGTGAGATTCAAATTGTTTAATTTGCAGAAAATCCGTTACAATTTTGTTATAAAATTTAAGGTATGTCTCAAGTGCTTCTATCGTAAGGCATGCCAAAACATCATGTAAAATCATCAACGGCCTTCAACAGTCCACTGCTGGACATGGGCCTCTTCTTAGAAAGCAGGTTTCGGCCTACTATACCATGATGGACAGACGGGTTGGTATAGGGTTTTTGTCAAGATTTACTTCTCTTTACAGTGCTGTTGTGATGAATAGGGGTGGTAACACTCTATATTCTTAATCCGTCACCACACGGACTGTGAGGTTATCGGAGTACAACCCACAGCGGTATCGCAGTGGCTATTGAGTTGTTAGTGTTTATGGACGGCCGTAGTCATTTAACAATAGGTAACCAAGTAACGTATTCCCGTTTGCCTCCCATGTTTAAAAAAAAAACGCCGGTGTTTAATAGGGATAAAAAAAGTTGTTTTGAGATACTGCCATCACTCTTTTTAGTTTCTACATTGTCGTGGTTTTTCATTGTGGTAGTGGTGAATAAAAAGAACAGAAAATACAATTAAAGATGTATTCTTTGTTCTTACTAACTTTTGTACATAGATCTGTACGGTACGACAGCTCGAACTTGAATGACCTCCGCTCCTACTGTCGCCCGTATTCGTTGTAAATGGATTTTTATTACATAGTTCTTACATATGTCTAACTAATACTAATAGTGAGTCAACTCCATTGATATACCGCTAAATACCTCCAAGTCTGTCTCGGCTAAAAATGTGCAAAGGTTGTCACAAAAACGATCAAGATGGTAGCCCAACTAGCAAAGAGATCGTATTAGCAATTACTCTCATGACTATGGATCGAAAAACACTCGTATGAAAGATTCTATTATTTCAAAAAGCCGTTTAAAAGCAGCTGTCTAGATATTTTAGCCTTCTTCTTTTTCTTCTTTAAAAAGACAACTCCCGCATTAGGAATAAATCCTGTGTCGCGGGGGACTTTACAAACATACATGAAACGGACACAAAAAACACCCAGACTCAGAACAACAATTTGTGGATCACACAAAGTGTCGTCCCATGTGGGGTTTGAACCCACAGCACTCGCCGTAGTAGGAAGCGGCGTGGCGACCGCTTAAACCACTACGCCATCCGTGCAGTCAACGCTTTTTGCCTCTATAAACGTGTCTAGTAAACGTGTACTCGACGAATTCATATCGCATTTAGTCGATAATTATATAAAGATATCTCTCGATCACCTTCATACAACCGTAAGTCCTATGACAGCTCTTTGAAAGCAACTGAATTTCTAATTTGTCGTAAAACTAGCTTTTATAGCACTATCTTTCGACATGTATTTGTTACAGCATAATTATAGAGTAATTCGGCTTATTCGACAAAATAGCATCTCAGTTACTATACCGGCACTTAATGTCATATAATAGCTTTTTACAAGGCTTTCATTCCGCTTAATTTTTGAAGTTGAGAAAACGCTTTAAAATTATCTATTACAGCCCCAAAGGTGCTCTAAACATCATTTGAAAGCCGTCTTACAGCATAATTGTGGTATGAAAGTTGAATAAAATCTTTTACAGCGCTGTAAACGCCATTATGTTACAACAACAACCGTATTGCTTTATTTTGTGAAAATGGATTATAATCGGTAAAAAAAATTAAAAGAAGCGGAGGGTTCCGACGGAAAGTAAACAAGATTTATACACGATTGAAACAATGAACATCTACATTGGAAGTAACCACAGATGAAGAGCGATCAAATAATACAAGTGCGGGTTCTGTAGGAAATATTCAACATTTCTCATGATGCCTTAAGAAAATTGTCAACAATTTTTAATAAAAGGATTCCTAATTTAATGCCAAAAGATCCTCGGTCTATTTTGAATACGAATTGTATGAAAATGAATTTCGCGAGCTACCGTGAAGGTTCCCTCTTAACTAATGGTGGTAAATCATTTAAATTGCCACTAAAATGTTTTAAAAAGTCACTCATTTAATAAAAATCACTAAGTAAAATATTTCGTTTATGTTTAATTTTCTTTTAAATTCCTCTGGAGTATTAATAACAGTATTAATTTGATCTAATATTAAGGATTTAACATTTTGCGCTAAGGAACCCCAAACTAACTGCAATTATGGCGGTCCTAGAAGTCGTAAAGTTGAAACCTCATTTCTATTTCTCAGCTAAAAGCCGAGTGAATGCTTTGTGATGATAAGTGAATTGCTATTAATGGCGAATTAGATTAAACTATTAAATTAACCCATTAAAGGTCAAATGAAAAGTACCGATGTTTTTTTTAAATTATCTTTATTTTCATATTCAAATAAGTACACAGAAACACAAAACGAAAGAAAAAAATGGAAAAATTTAGATTTCATAAAATTTCAGGGGTCGAGTACAGCAACATTATATGACTGTAGTTTTATTTTAGTAATGAATCATTGATTGTATTGTTTATTATAACTTACTCTGACATTTATTTCATACTAATGAAATAAAAAAAATAACTTATAAACAGAAATAACTTTTAAAAATCTCATATCATTTACTTACCTCCCCAGTGTTTCGGTGACACTATTTCAACTGACACTTTTTGGCAAAAATAATCACACTACCAGCGTAATACTTTTCAATATACGTGAACAGTATTATAATTAAATAAAATAACAAAGTAGGCCCCTTTAATTTTACAAGTGTTGAATTGAAATTCAAAAAAATGGCTGTACTCAATTGAGTACAGTGACTTCTAATGGGTTAATATTATTTGTAATTCATTATTTACTAAGAAATCTTACGGCCCATGAAAATATTAACTAAAATGTAAGGAATATAGACGAAAAATTTAACCCCGCATATGAAAGTAACACCTTTGAGCTAACTTTAGGTCACGAATGTCATGATTGTAAAAATGTATGGCACAAATAATATATGGCAAAATTTAATACTTCATTAATTATTTTATTTCTTTTCACAAACACTGATCGTACCGGTTTGATGATAAATAAAATGATCTATGAATGCTGCTTGGTTGCATTCACACGATCAAAGAGTCGAGTGATTGCAACCGCACTGCTATATTACAATAAATTTGTCGAATGAAAGACCTTCTACCGACTTGGGAAAAGCTAATGTGTTGAAAAATGGCATACCGATGATTAATATAATACTAGTAACTTTCGAGTTGCGATTACTCTATATTCTTTCGACTATTTGGCTATTCAGACGATAATCTTACGATATTTACATCACTTAAAGCAGAGAGAAGTGCGCCCAAATCGCGTTGAGAGAACGTGCACAGATCATTTACTCGACATTTCGAAGATCCATCTCACCACCAATAGCTGATATAGAAACGTGCTGCCGGTCATTTTTACGATATATTTTGCTAGTTGGGAGGTAGCTAGCTACAAATAGAACTTGCCTAATTTAACTACATATATTTTACCTACACATTATCTCGGGTACCTATTCCTTTTAAAATACTGGATAAAAGTTTGAACAAATTATGAAAAACTGTTTAAAATTATACATTGGAAAATATTTTATTTCGCTTCTTTCGTTTCGTGATTTCAGTTGGTGAATTTTCAGTCTATTGGGAAAAGATTTTGGTAAAATTGACTTCTTACAACCATGAGATTGCTGCAGCTTTCCATCACGATATTGACAACAAGATATTATGCTTTCGGTAATAAGGATAAATAAAAAAGTAAAAGTAATTAAGTAAAAAAGTAGGTATTTTTATGGAATAGGGGGCAAACGAGCAGACAGGTCACCTGATGGAAAGCGACTGCCGCCGCCAATGAACAGGAGTCATAAGCGCGTTGCCGGCCTTTGAGGAAGGAGTACGCTCCAAAAATTGTACCAGTTCCTTTATTTTTTTCATCTAATAATATAATCTAAGTAATAGCTATAGTTAAATGAAAAAGCTACGAATATAAGTGAAATATCTATAATATTATAATAGCATCTAGGATGTAATAAAATTTCAACAATTCATTAAAGTTAATCCACTACTAAATTGTTCCTATTAAATATTTATAAACAAAGAATAATTCACAAAAAACTGCAAGATCATTCGAATACCGTTTTTCTATCATTTAAAATATCAATGACGCTTTGACTGACTAAGCTCAAATCTTAAAATCATCGACTGATGTGAACATATTTTAGGAAGAAACAAATCTGAATACTCAGTCTCAGGAAGGGATAGGGAATATTTTTTTATAAACCAATAGTCACAAATTATTATGGAGAACGAACAAATAAGTACATGGTACCCCAAGCATTAAAAAAAATGTATGTACAGTAGCCCAGGTTATTTTAATAAATAAACGAGGGCGTTAAACGAGTATAAAGTTTAAATCTTAGATCAAAGTTACTATTGTTAATTGAATTAAAAAAACGACTGAAAAAAATCATCATCTTTTTACAACGGACCGTGAACAAGGCTAAATAAAAAGTTACTTTCATAAAAATACCCCACTTTATAAAGAAAAGGGAAAACGCAATATAAACAAAATTAAAACAGCTGATATGAAAGCTGATGGAGCGTGAATTTTATCCAACTGCGCCAGGAGGGTTATGCTTGTCGGGGAACCAGGGACTTCCTTTCTAGGGTATACCCGGTTCCCCGGCTATTAGTACCCGAGACGGCGTGCGGTTTTAGTCGGTTCGAGTCCGACATGCCACCGACAGGTGGTATCCGAGGGGATTGCCGCACGGAAAAAAAAAAAGGAGGGTTATGCTTTTTGGGTGTATGTATGCATATTTTTTTGGCCCTTCTCTGTAGTCTAAACAGCTTGTTGGATTTTACATTGGGTGTTGTCATTACATTCGTCTTAATTGTGAGTACATGAAACCACACTGCGTATATAAAGTTAAGGAATACCCCAAGATTAGGATGCTAAAAGGACCTGCGACAGCAGTAGTTTGCAGAGGCCGGGGTTGGAGACCATAATGTATATCTTGTGAATGACAACCAGGCCAGTGAGATTTATGTATCTCATTTTAGTATATGTAATAATAATAACCTCACATATCTCACACACGGCCGTCTGATCCCAAACTAGACAGAGCCAGAGTAGTATGGCAAAGAGATTGCTGATAGATATACTTAAATATTTCCAAACACATACATATTATATATATATATATTCTATATTCTACCACATATACACACAACGCCATCTAGTCCCAAACTAAGCAGAGCTTGTACTATGGGTACTAGACAACTGATATAAATACATATATACTTTTTTTTTTGTAAATACATACATATGATACATAGAAACATCCAGACCAAATCACAAATTCATTCATGCACACAAATGTTTGACTTGAGCGGCAATCGAACCCGCGACCTTTGGAATAGCAGTCCGTTACACAAACCACTACGCCATCCAGTCGTCTAAATATTATTTTATAGATACATTACACACAGACGAACAAAAAATTCAGCTGCACTGACTGTAGTGGTCTCGATCCCTACATGGGACAACACTTTGTGTTATCCACAAATTGTTGTTCTGAGTCTGGGTGTTCGTTTTGTCCGTTTCATGTATGTTTTTAATATCCCCGCGACACAGGATATATTATGCCTAATGCGGTCTTTAAAAAATACTCACTACGATCGTACTCAACAATATTATTTATGTGCTGAGTGGGAATCGATCTTATGACCTCTGCCTTAGTAATTAGGATCACTAACTACTTGACAGTAGTGCTGACGGACCGTGTGGTGACGGATTAAGAATACAGAGTGTCACCACCCCTATTCATCCCGAGGGTGTCGTAAGAGACGACTAAGGGAAAAACTACGCAGAACAATAGCACTGCAGAGAGAAGGAAAACTTGATACAAACCCTATACCAACCCGTCTGGCCACCGTGATATAGTAGGCCAAAACCTCCTTTCTAAGGAGAGGCTTATGTCCAGCAGTGGACCATTAAAGGCTGTTGATGTGACAGTGCATTATTACGAGTATATCTTAAAAGCACATCATGGTCAAGAGTGGTGTTCCGCTCCCTCAAAATTTAATACCGTGATAACGAAAAAAATTGTGAAAACGAAAGCCTTTCTGAACAATGTAACTATAAGTTGGAGAAATAAATTACACATTTGACTTTTAGTTTAAAAGATTAGTGTGCTAAAACACACGTATAATTTTAATGAATTGTATTGTTTTAAAGTACTTACATGTGTTTAATAGGAAGTAGACCTTCTTGATGTATTACCGGTTGGGCGGCAGATGGAATAATGAGGTGAAAGATGGGACTAATATACCAGTTCAAAGATTTAGGTACATGTCACCATACATGCTGCACCCGAGATATGGGTATCGTTATGTAAAAATTGATAAGGTATATCTTAATGGCATAATAAAAATTGATGTAAACAAAAAATTATTGTTCTATTTAATAGTAACCTATATTTTTAAAATTAATTGCCCTGTCCGACAGATTAATCTAAGTACTCACTAAGAAAGTATTTTTTGGTAATTTCCATCCTAAGGGAATAAAATTAGGGATGAACAGTTTGTTTTTTAAAGGACAACGTCCGCATTAGGAATATATATATTAGGAATTAATACTTACGTGGAAGAGCCAAGCTAAAAATGAGCCGGCACGATCGGTGCGGCTTCACAGTAAACCGCACAAAGTGTCGTCCCATGTGGGGCTCGGACCCACAACACAAAACGTAGTAGTAAGCGGCGACCGCTTAAACCACTACGCCATCCGTGCAGGTTGTATGGAAGTTCGTTATTTTCAAAGATAGAAACACGAAATAACGACCGAAGCCGCGGGCAATACCTAGTAAATGATAAGTTTTAAATGTATTCTGTTAGGGTAATGTAATTTAAGAATATCAGTTATCAAAGCCTACGAAATTCGGTTCTTTTCTTTCAGTCTTGGCCCCGGGAGAGTTTACTTCAGCACAAATATGGCCCAAAAACACCTTACGAAGACGAGTGTTGACGTTTGTTAGTGTGTATTTTTTTTTTAAATCTTTCGATACATTCTTGAAAAATAGATAATATAAATATATATATATATATTTATTTGTTTTCTTTTATTGCTTTTCATCGAGTGAGGGAGGTTCATCATCATTATCAATGGCTCCTAATAGTCTACTGCTGGACATAGGCCTCTCCTCAGAAATAAGGTTTTGGCCTACTATCCCCCGATCTCTAACCAAACTAAATGCCAGATCGCTAACCGCACTGCTAGATTGTATGTCAATAGTACGTTTTTGCCATATCAACCGCCTTTAATAGTTCACTGCTGGATATAGGTATCTTCTTAGAAAAGAGGGTTTGGCGTACTACCATGCTGGCCAGACAGGTTGGTTTAGGATTTATTTCAGGTTTCCCTTTTCTTTGCAGTCCTCCGTAATTTGCTCCCTTACTGGACTCTTATGCTGCAAGTTGTGTTTATCATCAGTTTCACCACATGGTGCATGCCGAAAATATTGAAATTCCTGAAGGTTTGCCAATAATATTTAAAGAATCGGTTGATTAGGCCAGGATATTCGAATTTGATGACAATATAACTAATAAGAAAATATACCCATTAAAAAGAAAATCATTTTCTTAATCAATCTAACCGTTATTTAGCAGTAGAGAGTAGAGATGCAGGCGTTTATATCCATCAATTAATCCAAAAAATTATGAAAAAATATATATTTCCCTATACATTGTGTAGGAAATCTAATAACGATGAACGGTTCAAGAATCTTTATTTATCAAAAAGAAAAGTAGAGCTATGATTAATGAGCTATGATTTGACTGCCTCGGTGGTACAGTGGTAGCGTAAGTGACTGCTGTGCTGAGGTCTTGGTTTAGATTCCCGGGACGGACCAAATGTATGATCTGCAAAAATATTTGTTTCGGAGTTTTCTATGTATAATATGTATTTATTAGACAATCTAGCTTACATAACACAAGCTATGCTTAGTTTGAAACTAGATGGCGTTGTGTGTCAGATGTCCGAAAAATATTATTATATTTTTATTATTAAATTAAAACTACGACAAACCTGCGGGGAACTGCTAGTATGTAATATAATACTCTTTATGGTGAACGATAAATTTAGGTTGTTTAATAAACACCTATCACCGAGACTTAGATAACCTCCCTATTAAAGGTTATTACAACTATGTATTTATAATCATTATACTTAATTAGTCAATGTGACATTTTGTTTATGCCAGTAATTATAGAGGTCATTAAAAACTATGTGCTTAACGTCTTATTGCCTTAATTTAAGTCATGATTACACGACTGGTCAAATTTTGGGATTTGGCATCATCATCATCATCAACAGCCTTAATAGTAAACTGCTTCTATCGTAAGGCATACCCAAACATCATGTAAAATCATTCATCATCATCAACGGCCTTCAACATTCTACTGCTGGACATAGGCCTCTTCTTGGAAAGGAGGTTTCGGCCTACTATACCACGCTGGCCAGACGGGTTGGTATAGGGTTTGTTCCAAGTTTTCCTTCTCTCTGAAGTGTTGTTGTTCTACGTAGTTATTTCCCTTAGTCGGCTCTTACGACACCCACGGGATGAATATCCACGGGATGGTCACCACACGGATTTGGCAAATAGTTATTTTTATTTTAAATAAGCGGACCAACAGCATAATGGAAAATGAAATACTGGGTCAGTATTACGAAGTACGTGTGATTTTAATGAACAATTACTGGAGAAATTAAAAAGAGTAATGTAAAATGGTTTTTAAACAATTATAATTATTCAAATATATGAGTGACAGGCCAGTTGGAGTGACGATCTGCGCGAAATGGCTGGCAGGAGCTGGAAGCCGTAAATCGATATTATTTGGAAATAGCTGAACTAAAAAGTAGAAAATAATAGAAAAAATGCGAGGGGTGCTAGATCTTACTTGCTGTAAACTAATATTTTACTGACATATATTGGTGAAAGTAGGGGGAAGTCCCGTAACGCCGGACGGCACCTAGCGCCGGACACTCATACTATTTTGACAAACGTCAACGCGATCTATTTATAAATCGGTGAAAGGGGTGCGGGGGAACGTAGAGAGACAGGATCACGCAACGCGATTTGCCAGTGAGACGCACAGTCGTGGTGGAAGCCGTGAATTGCTGTTTTTGGTGGGAAAGCGTTGCGTCACGTAAATTTCAAGTAAGTATTACTGCTATGGTTTTATCCTTAATTGTTTTTGTTATTTGTTAATAAAGACAGTGTTTCACTATAATTATTATATTGTGAAAGTTTTTATTAAATACCTAAACAGTTTTAGTATGAAATACGTAATTTTGGACGTTTCCTGTCCCCTACTTTCGGACACAAAGGTGTCCCTTACCACCGGACAGTTTATAGGTTAGCTTTTTTATGAAGCATTTGTACTTATTGTAATGATGATTGTTTGTTGTTTTACAGGATAGAAGGAGAGAGATATTTGAAAATGCAAGAGAGAAAAAAAAAGGAAAATGGGATCAGAAAAGTTTAAAAACTGCGATGAACAAGATTTTGTCCAAAAAAATGAGTTTGAGGGCAGCTTCGTCACGTTACAATGTTCCAAAAAGTACTCTACATGATAAAATAACGACATTGAGCAGTGGAAAAGAAGTCACGTTGCAACCAAAAGTTGGTAGATTCACAAAAACCTTCTCACCCGAGTATGAGCAAGTTTTAGTGGACCACATAAGAGATTTGTCTAATAGATGTCTGCCCCTGATGAAAAACGAGTTTTTGAAGTTAGCTTACGACTTGGCTGAAGCTATGAAGATTCCCCATGAGTAAACAAACCAAACGTGGCAATAACGACAACAAAAAGGAGCCGTTAACTGAAGTATCAAATATAGAAAAAACGACTTGTGTAGTGTGTTTAGAAGACCACGACGAGGACTGGATACAATGCTCCAGATGCCAATAATGGGCTCATGAAGCATGTGCAGACGTTCCAGAATGTGGAGATGCCTACATATGTGATAGATGCTAAAAGTTTTAGAATGTCCGGCGCTTGGGGTTTGAAGATTAACCCGTCCGGCACTAGGTGCCAATGTCAAAGTCCTTTATTTTTTACCAAAACTTATTTAACACTCCTGAACTATGTTTACGCAGAATTTGTATTTTTGTTATTTGATTTTGATTTTATGTTTTGTTAATTTAAGTAATTCATAAATAAATACATATTTCTCGATGTAGTTTTAATTTTATTTCCTGAAAACCTTATGTGTCCGGCACTAGGGGACTTCCCCCGGGGGAAGTCCCGTAGCGCCGGACACTCATACTATTTTGACAAACGTCAACGCGATCTATTTATAAATCGGTGAAAGGGGTGCGGGGGAACGTAGCGAGACAGGATCACGCAACGCGATTTGCCAGTGAGACGCACAGTCGTGGTGGAAGCGGTGAATTGCTGTTTTTGGTGGGAAAGCGTTGCGTCACGTAAATTTCAAGTAAGTATTACTGCTATGGTTTTATCCTTAATTGTTTTTGTTATTTGTTAATAAAGACAGTGTTTCACCATAATTATTATATTGTGGAAGTTTTTATTAAATACCTAAACAGTTTTAGTATAAAATACGTAATTTTGGACGTTTCCTGTCCCCTACTTTCGGACACAAAGGTGTCCCTTACCACCGGACAGTTTATAGGTTAGCTTTTTTTATGAAGCATTTGTCCTTATTGTAATGATGATTGTTTGTTGTTTTACAGGATAGAAGGAGAGAGATATTTGAAAATGCAAGAGAGAAAAAAAAAGGAAAATGGGATCAGAAAAGTTTAAAAACTGCGATGAACAAGATTTTGTCCAAAAAAATGAGTTTGAGGGCAGCTTCGTCACGTTACAATGTTCCAAAAAGTACTCTACATGATATAATAACGACATTGAGCAGTGGAAAAGAAGTCACGTTGCAACCAAAAGTTGGTAGATTCACAAAAACCTTCTCACCCGAGTATGAGCAAGTTTTAGTGGACCACATAAGAGATTTGTCTAATAGATGTCTGCCCCTGATGAAAAACGAGTTTTTGAAGTTAGCTTACGACTTGGCTGAAGCTATGAAGATTCCCCATGAGTAAACAAACCAAACGTGGCAATAACGACAACAAAAAGGAGCCGTTAACTGAAGTATCAAATATAGAAAAAACGACTTGTGTAGTGTGTTTAGAAGACCACGACGAGGACTGGATACAATGCTCCAGATGCCAATAATGGGCTCATGAAGCATGTGCAGACGTTCCAGAATGTGGAGATGCCTACATATGTGATAGATGCTAAAAGTTTTAGAATGTCCGGCGCTTGGGGTTTGAAGATTAACCCGTCCGGCACTAGGTGCCAATGTCAAAGTCCTTTATTTTTTTACCAAAACTTATTTAACACTCCTGAACTATGTTTACGCAGAATTTGTATTTTTGTTATTTGATTTTGATTTGATGTTTTGTTAATTTAAGTAATTCATAAATAAATACATATTTCTCGATGTAGTTTTAATTTTATTTCCTGAAAACCTTATGTGTCCGGCACTAGGGGACTTCCCCCTAAAGTTATTATATTATAAAACCTTGAAAAGCACCCCACGCTTTTTTACGATAAAGGATTTTTCTTTATGAACTTATAGAAAATTATTTTCTACTTTTTAGTTCAGCTAGTTACAAAAGCGTGTTTTTAGTTTTTTTAAACTATCATTTATTTTTGCTTCCTTAGTCATTAAACTAAAAAAGTAACAAGTAAACAAGTCACATATACTTCAGCACACGCCTCTTAGTACGTAGCAAAAGACACAACCATATTTATAGGTATCTTGAAGATCTTGATCAGGATAAAAAAGTTGTGTTATACACATTAGAAAGCTGAACTCTTTTTAGCTATTTATACTAATTTATCTATGTGTTGATAGAGCTACATTCTTACGTCAAATACTTTCCATCGATTTTGTCATTCTTGTTAATCTATTTCAACTTTTTGAAAATTATAAACTAGCAACTTTTATTACATTTAATGTTATTTTACTACAAAAACACCACGACTGGAGAGGATTTAACTCAATCTGAAGTTCAATATAACAGCTATAGATCGTCGGCATAAATAAAAAAATACACTTTATTTTATTGAAGAGTTCATTAATAAATTCTAGGCACAATAAAGGTCCTAATTGAAATCCTTGAGGAACACCTGAACAAGGCAATCTTGCTAATGCCGCAAGTTGAGAGAAACAAATATTAACGAGAACTATTTCTAGCTTTTAAATCATCGTAACAGACATCTATACCTTCGTGCAACATTTTATAGAAGTATTGAATGATCCACACGATCAAAAGCCTTTGCAGAATCTATACATATATACATTTCGTATCATTTTAATCCCTATCCTAAAATGCTTCAGTAGAATATAATTGTAATTATTAGTACACAAATTCGACGCAGTCGAATGGTTGGATACAAAACCATGTTGCCGGTAAGATGACAGTTTACCCAGAAAACCACAAATCGCATCGGCTGGCGTCGCTTACTATCAGGTGACGTGTTTGCTCGTCTGCCTCTTTTGTCATAAAAAAATAATATTCTAATCATTCAAAATGATGAACAACATTATAAGTAGTTAGATCTATTTCAAAGCAGACAGTTACTAAAATTCTACTGTGTAAATAGTAACATTTTTTAAAAAGGAAACGATCGCTGTCATATTTATTGTTAGTCAAGAGTCACCTTATGTCACTATCAGTGTTGCCAAATACCGCTCTCCGCTTTGTGTCAATGTCATAGTAAATTTAGAAGTGTTTCGATCCTTCAAAGCTTGTTAAAAATATATCTTAAACCACACGTAACTGCTTTTAAGATAGATCATGAGATTACTGTCACTTTTTGTCAAAGAAATCACTCATTCTTCACGTGGAACGTGACGATAATTTTTGTTTAGGTTTTTGAGTTCTTCGCTTTCGGAATCAGATATGTTTAATTAAAAAATATATTTACTTAACTGTAGATACGTAGATACTACTTAACAGGTGTAATGCTTTTGTAGACTCAAAGTAAGATTATTAAGAGGTTGTTACAATAATACCTATGATACTTTATCCCTGGTATGAATATTTACGTCTAAGATTAATTTCTATACATGTTCCATACAATCGCTATTTAACTCTACAGTTGCCAACTTCAATAGTGTAAGGTTAAATTTGATGACACACACTCTAATTGTTAATCGTCTAATTTATACTAATGCTAATATTCCATAATCATAAGAGCTTTCAATTCTTTTAAAACCCGCTCCAGAAATGAAGGTTTTTTTCCCACTATACTCACTCAACGTAAGAAAACACAAAATCCATTTAAAATAGTTTACATTTAAAAAATGTGCCATGTGACTCGAAGTCACAATGATTGCGCGTTTTAAAAATCCAGTAATTTTGTTGTACTTCTTAATCTTTGAAACACAAAATGAATCACTTGACGTGTTTTGATTCGGAATTATAAATCTGCATAGTCATATCGTTTATTAGACTTGATAAAAGTCGTAACGTCTTTAATTTTATAAGTCAGTTTGAATCCAACAGCAGTGGCGGTGTTGTGTTACAGTTAACACTTAGGAATATACTTCAATATATTAGGTATGTGACAAAATTTATCTTTTACTTTGTTTGTGCTAAATAAATGTTTTTGAAATGATGACAGTACAGTTTTCAGGGGTTTGTAGTGAAGAAGGAACTCTTATAGTTGTCCTTGTCGGTCTTGTGTGTTTAGACGCGTACTGGAGAACGGTTATTTTGCATGGGTATATACTATGTCACGTAGTAAAAACGAAAAAGTAGATCTTTAAAACAGCGTCTCCAGGTTTTGCTAGTCTTTCCATGATGTGGTGTGTCATGTGTGTGGAGTCTTTCAAAGATATTGATTAATGTGTCAAAACGGTTTCCCGATACAGTGTTTCGATTTCTAAATATTCAGCGGTTAATTGCTAATTTATTTACGAGGCATATAAAACCCTTAAATGTTCGCTAGCTAAACAGTTTCTTGGGTTTGTCTGTCCTATTTTAAAAGCCTTGAAGTGTATCTTTTTTTGTGAGTGGTACCATGAGTGGTCACCCCATTAGAGTCATACAGTAACGTGGTATGTCAGACTTGAAACGATTAAAACCACACAGTCCTCCATCATCAGGTCTTATGTCGGGGCCGCCGATGTAGCCTAGAAAGGAAATTTCTTTGAATGAGAACCTGTACCTATAAAGAGGTGAGAAGTTCAGGCGTGAATGCGAAATATACTATTTATAGTTTAGTTAAGATAACCGTAATATTGTGATTTAGCTGTCAGGTAGCCATAGAAGCGGTTATGGCAGAGCCAATCTGAGCTCTCTTACCAATAAAATAACGAGAAAGCTTGTGATGACAGATGGATGTACTAGGACCTTAGCCCGCAAACGCAAACTACGCAGAACAACAGCACGGCAGAGAGAAGGAAAACTTGACACAAACCCTATACCAACCCGTCTGGCCAGCGTGGCATAGTAGGCCAAAACATCCTTTCTAAGGAGAAGCCTATGTCCAGCAGTGGACTAGTAAAGGCTGTTGATGATGATGATGATACTCGTAGGATCTTATTCCGTATGTCTGCAGGCCTGTGGTAAATAACCAACTACAAGGTACATACTTATTATTTAATGGTATGTCAGGACGCTACATCGTTGAGACCATTTACTGATTTTTGAAAACATCTTTTGTTTATTTCTCTTTACAGAATAATGTCGAAGTACGTCTATTATTACGGCTCCTTAAAGGTCATAGGTGAAGCTCCCCGTTTGCTGTTGGCTTTTGGAGGACAAGACTTTGAAGACGTACGCATAACACTTGACCAATGGCCTGATTTAAAACCTAGTAAGTTGACAATACTCGTGTGGTGACGGATTAAGAATACGGAATGTCACCACCTCTATTCATCTCGTGGGTGTCATAAGAGCCGACCAAGGGACCAAACTACAAGACAACAGCACTGCAAGGAGAAGTAAAACTCGAAACAAACCCTATACCAACCCGTCTGGCCAGTGTGGTATAGTAGGCCAAAACCTCTTTTCTAAGGAGAGGCCTATGTCCAGCAGTGGACTATTATAGGCTGTTGATTAAGTTGACAATCTTTTGAGATATTATATAATTCACTGGATTTCTTTTAACATTTTTAATACCATTAATAATGATGCAAAATTATGACAACCGATATGTTTTAAGACTCGTAGGTTTCCAGATTCTATCATTGGCTTCGTCTCTGCATCGGGCTATTACTGAATTGTTTAGCAAACTGACCATGAAATGACTTGACCATGAGTTGGTTAAAATTTAATTTATAATACGTTTATTTCTACACATTTTTTTCATGTTACTAAAATAAAGTAATCCTTGTGAATCTAGACTAAGTAACTAGTGAATATTTTGACAGATCTTGGTCTAAGTTTTAATTTTGTAACTTTCCAGAAACTCCTTTTCATCAAGTGCCAGTTTTAGAGATTGACGGAAAACAATACGCACAGAGCAACGCTATCTGTCGGTTCCTGGGTAGAAAATACGGAGTTGCTGGTGATGATGAAGATGAGGCCTTCGAGATCGACCAGAATGTTGACTTTTACATGGATATACGTAATAGTGAGTATTTTGCATGATAGGTAGAAAATTTGCTTCAAAACATTGTATACTTTAGATATAACTCCATGTGGTTTTGTTTCGACTATCCCTTTTCTTGTAGTTGTGCTATCTCTTTGATTTATGCTTTTTGTCACCACTTACGGTCCCTTGGATCCGATGACCACGTAACGGAGACAGGGTAGAATGGTTTCTAGTCTAAAGTCGCCAATGGTTACTTATGCAGTGCGGTCCTACCCTCAAGTTCAATATTTTCTTCTTAATTTTAGTTCAATAATTATTCCTGAATTTTTCCCTATTGTAAACAACTCCACCCTTAAGAAAAAATGACACTATATATACTTTGGGTGTTTTCTATGTATAATATGTATGTATTTACAAAAAGAAGTATATAAGTAGGTATTCTATCTATCAATCTAGCTTTCACAGTACAAGCTCTGCTTAGTTTGAAACTAGCTGGCGTTGCGACTCAGATGTCTGAAAATATTTATTTATTTTATATATTTGTTTGTCAATTAATTGTAAAATCACTAAAATTGTGACCTTTACTACTTCAGATAGAGACATTTTAATTTTTACTAATTTCTTTTCGCTAGTTGCTACACCGATTTTCAGAGAAGAGGATGAGGCAATCAAAGAGAAGAAATATGAAAATTTAGCCAAGACCGTGACGCCTAAACTGGAAAAGCTGAACGAAGTGATAGTCAAGAATAATGGACATCTTGCTGCAGGAAAGGTACTTAATATTCTTGGACTGAACTTATGTAACAAATCAGTCATTTACACCACTTCTCATTTCTCATTCATCGTTCATTTGCCGCATGCCGTTTAAAGCCCATGCTTCAGTTAAGTCGCTAGAAAAAAAGATGTGAGAATTTAGGTGGTTTCGTCACTTGAAATATACAAATTGTGACAGTTACTGAAGTTATAAGAACAAGGTAGATTTTCAAAGAGCATGCAAAAATACCAATTCTTTCGTTCTAATTTCACGGCATGAATTGTCCCGTGAATTCTAATTTAAGCCATTTCAAATTTAAGTAAATTTGAAATGGCTAGCAAGTCTGTTTTATGTCACGTGAAGTACACGCGCAGGCTATATTTTTTAAAACAAAAATTTAGAAATGTTATTAATTGTTTTGCAGCTGACGTGGGGTGATTTCGTGTTTGCCGGTACTTTTGATCATTTAAAAGCGCTACTGAGGATGCCAAACCTAGAAAAGGAGTATCCAGCCTTCCAACAAGTCGTCGACAATGTATATTCCATCCCTAAAGTGAAAGCATACGCAGATGCCGCGCCAAAATCGCAATTTGGATATTAATAACAAAAAAAATACACAAAAGTTCAACTCTTATCTCGAACGATGACTGAATATACTATTTATATTATAAATTCATTAACTTAAATGTGTTGTTATTATTCATTAGTATAAAATCTTTTTCAAGTATAAAGTGTAATAAAACAAATGACAGTCAGTAAACCGGTAAGGCCAGACTACGCTGAATATACGCTGTTCGAAATAAGTGATGTTTAGAAGAAAGGGGCTATCAGTAGCACACCAATGCGAGGGGCTTGTGGGAAAGTTTGAGAGAAAGACTGTAGATTAAATCTGATACTCCAGAGTAAAGACGGAGTAGAAAATATTTCTGAAAGTGAAACAACAACTTAAATTCATTGAAAACTGACGCAAGGCAATTTGCTGGCAAAAACTAGATTAGAAAACATTTATTTAATGAAGGTTACCATAACTATAGACTGAATCCATGATCAAAATCAAAATAAACAAGTCTTCAAGGCATAATGTTTATGTTTTATCATGTATAAATATTTTTTATGCTATCGTTTTGCAGAAATTCAGCAGATTTTCATCAGTTTTCAATGAATTTAAGTATTCTGTTTTTTTTTTAGTTTTATTTCTTCTCCGTCTTAATAAAATTTTGTTCTTAGGTAAGTGCATGAAATAAGTACAGAAACCGTACTGTCGAAATAATAAAAATATAATTGTGGTTGTCACATTTCTTATTTGGTAAACATCACTTTATATCACTAGAGGTAAATTTACCATTTATTAAAAAATGAATACAACGTAGAAAGACGTTGTATTCATTTTTTAATAAATGGTAAATTTATTTGAAGGCTGGCACTAGCAGAGCGAGCCTACAAATATTTTTTATAAAGATGTCCTGTGGTATAGATAGTCTTATCTATGAAACCACAGTAGTAGTATTAGTAGTATCTACATTGCACCCGTGCGAAGCCGGGGCAGATCGGTAGTAATATTAAAAATATATGCTGTGATGAATTTAAATCCAAAACGAATGTATATCGTCGTGTCGATATCGTCTCAATTCAATTGAAAAAGAAAATTTGTGAAATCAGTCAGAATCAATCAGAATCAGCTGTATTTTAACTAGGAAGTATTTTAGTCACATCATACTCTTATTGTCTAACTTATATCAACTCACGATGATTGTGCCATCCACATATCTAGTATACTCGTACTACTGTCCAATTTTTAATGACACGATGAATTTTCAAAAATATTTTTGCGTGTGTTGATTCGAACTTTGATACTCTGATAATTGATAAGATTTGATAATAACTCGTACAGTACACTATTTAATGTTGTAAATCAGTATTGATCCAACTGTAGTGATTGTCTCGTGAAGCAGAATACCTGCACTTAGGAGTATATTTGCAAATATAAGGTTTGTAGCTAAAGCTAAATATATATTTTTTACGTTAGAGGGGCAAACGAGCAGACGGGTCACCTGATGGAAACGGATGGATATATGGATAACCATCGCCGCCCATGAACGTCTGCAACTCAGGAGTCACAAACGCGTTGCCGGACTTTTAGGAAGGAGAACACTCTTTTTTGAAGGTTTGAAGGGCGTATCGTTTCTGAAATACTGCAGACGATAACCCGTTCGCCAGATTGGTTGTGCAGGGCAAAAAGTGTCTCGAAAAGCGCACAGTAGTGGAGCGCCAACTATACCGGGAATGAGGATGAAAATGTTGTCGTGAGGAACGATGGCGGAAAGTTGCGGCTGGTATTAGTCAGAACAATTCCTCGGAGCACTCTCAATGATACGATAGAGAATGCAGAGCGAAGCACACATCTGTACGTAACGCCAAGGGATCGAAATATATATTGTTTACTTTATATGTTTTTGAAATGAGGACAGGTCAGTTTTCAGTTTACCGTACATACTCTCATCTCTGTCGATCAGGCTTAGAAGAGACATTTTATTGCCAGAAAAAAAACGTTTTGTGAAATCGGAAAAGAATTATTTTTGCAACAGCAAAATGTTTGTTTTTATAGACCATGAAAAACACAATAATTAAAATGACGTTACAAGAAAATCTACCACAGCTAAATAGCTTTATCTAGTAAATGAATAGTAATAGTGTCCAATAGTACTAGTGAAATTATAAGATGTACGAAAAAAACAACATTTCTTACAAGTTTTTTTCCAATTTACGTAAAGTTATCAACCATGGATACATATTGTGCTTGACTCGATATTGCACTTATCATTTTATTGTTATAAATTCATACTATCTGTCTCTTACCTACTTTAACAATATCTTAGATTAAATTTAACATGCTTTGTAATTTTTAGAGTCTAAAATGTTACGAGTAGAGATAAAGCTAATGACTTGATAAAACGTATAGAACTAAATGGCTCAGTGCAGCGTGCTGGCGACTGACGCCAGACTGACCAGTCGCCAGAGGTAGATTGCGACGACACAACTTTTTGCTAACTGTTTTAAATCCGTATTTAAACTGTATAAAAATGGACACAGGAGACTTAATAGATGTAGTTCGTAACCACCCGTAAATCTTCTCGTTCTTCTCATCCTTTTGATATCACGAATCCCTAAAACAGAATTTTTCTAAATAAAAGTACTATCAAAATAAATACTACATTTATTTCCGCTCTAAGTACTTTTCTTAACGAAATCAAACAATCAGTATGTTTAGCACTAACCCCAAAAAGGTAATTAAATTATGAGTTGCCTTCGATCAGTCGCAAGTAGTCCCTTGTAGTTCCCTTATTTTTCAAAGTCGCGCGACATCACTGCCACGCTGCACAAGCCCTAATGATAAGCCATTTATTGTACCATTGATATGATTAAAATTATACAGAGACACTAGGCGCTGTTTTTGGTACGTAAAATTCCTACGTCTGAATTGCTGTAGTAGGCCGTTTACAGGCGGGGGTCGTCTACTCGTCTATAGATGGGCCGAGGTATGTCGGGGCACCAGGGACTTCCTTTGTAGGGTATACCTGGTTCCCCGGCTATTAGTACCCGAGACGGCGTGCGGTTTTAGTCGGTTCTAGTCTGACATGCCACCGATAGGTGGTATCCGAGGGGATTTCCGCATGGAAAAAAAAGGCCGTTTACACGCATGGCCAGCCTCGAAAAGTGTCCACAAAACACAAGCGTGTAAACGGGATGTTTGGCTCAACTTTGTAATATCAAATTGAGCAGGAGGTGTAAGTCAATGCTCTACTGATTGAGCAGTTTAGTTAAGCAGTAGGGGTAGAGTTTTTTTTAGTTTAAAGCCGCCGTTTATATTTTGAATAAAAATATGTCCCCGTCTGCTATGTTTGCATGTCCGGAACACAAGAGCACAATCGCAAGCGTGTAAATGGCATCAAAGTGTTTGCAAAGCGTTGGAGCTTGTGCACGCTTGTAAACTGGGCATAAAAGTCACAAAGTCACATGTAATTTATTATTTTATGGTTCTTCAGGGCTCTACACCGTTATTACAATATTCTAATATTTTAAAAAAACTTTACATTTATATATATTTACAGAATAATGTCGAAATATGTATTGTATTACTCGAGTGCGAAGGCCTTGGGTGAGGCTCTCCGATTGCTGTTGGCTTTTGGGGGACAAGAGTTTGAAGATTACCGCTTAACAATAGAACAATGGCCTGAGTTCAAAACAAGTAAGTACTAAACATTTTGAGTTATATATTCATGAGTTCACTTTGTACAAACACTCTTCAATATCATTAATATTGATCTCAAATTACAACAACCCATGTTTTTGAGACCTATAAGTTTCCAGATGATATGATTGTAGATATATTAATCAGTGAACTGACCATGGTAGAAGACGAGTGTATGAAGATATTTTTAGAAAAATGTCTAGTCGACATTAAACTAAAATATTTTAACTAAATATTGTTCAGTTTTCATCATACCAATTATTGTTATTTGGTAGTAAGTTTTTATATTATTAGTTAGGTATTTGTTCTAAATAAGCAGTTGAAATGATATCTACTTGACTCTTTCTAAGACTGCTTCGAGAAACTCATATATTTTTTAAATTAGCAAAAAATGCTAATCCTTGAGAATTTAGACACTTTATGAGAGTTGGGACTAACATTTAATTTTGAAACTTTATAGAAACCCCATTTAATCAAATACCGGTGTTGGAGATTGACGGAAAAAAGTACGCACAGAGTGTCGCCATCTCTCGGCTCCTGGGAAGAAAATACGGAATTGCGGGTGATAATGAAAACGAGGCCTTTGAGATCGACCAGAATGTTGACTTCTATATTGATATCCGTAATAGTGAGTTTTCTGTAAATTAGATAAGTTTGCTTGTCCAACTATAGTAGAAGATATCGTTTACTCGTGTCTGAAGTTGGTTAGCAAAAATTACGTTCGTCATCTTGATAAATAAGAGTATAGTGATATCGAAAAACGATTCGAACCAATAAAGCACTATGACTGCACGGATAGCGTAGTGGTTTAAGTCGCGCTCACTACTACGCTGAGTGTTGTGGGTCCGATCCCCACATGGGACGACGCTTTTTGTGATCCACAAATTTTTGTTCTGAGTCTGGGTGTTCTTTGTGTCCGTTTCATGTATATTTGTAAAGACCCCGCGACACAGGATATATTCCTAATGCGGGATATCCCGTCTTTTTAAATAAAAATGAATGTAAGTTGTAGTTAAAATATTTCATTTGTGTGCTTGTATAATGTTTGATATGTAAGAAGTGTTGTGTCCGATTGAATAGGCGTGGATAACTCGTTAGGAATATCAAATGCACATCATCATCCTTTAATAGTCCACTGCTGGACATGGGCCTTTTCTTAGAAAGGAGGTTATGACCTACTATACCGCGCTGGCCAGACGGGTTGGTATAGGGTTTGTTTACCAACCCGTCTGGCCAGCGCGGTATAGGGTTTGTTTGACAGCCCGGGAGGCAAACTTCCAAGAGGCGGCGCGCCTGGCCACAGGGGGAGTCTCCCTGGTGGTCGGGCGCATTGAGGCGCTGGGCTTACGGGTGGCTCTAGATAAGACGGAGGCCCTGTTATTTCATGGGCCCCGTCGTGGTCCACCCCCTGGCGCCTCAATCGTGGTCAACTCGGTCCTCGTGCCGGTTCGGGCCCAGATGAAATATCTGGGCCTGATCCTCGACGGCAGGTGGCTCTTCGACGAGCACTTCTGACAGCTTGCTCCAAAGCTGGTCGGCGCTGCGTCTGCCCTAGGGCGACTTTTGCCCAATATGGGTGGACCCAGCGTCGCGACAAGACGGCTGTACACGAGGGTTGTCCGGTCAATGGCACTGTACGGTGCACCGGTGTGGGCAGCGGCTCTGACCGCCCAGAATAGGGTACGCCTCTGGCGCCCTCAGAGGGTAATGGCGGTCAGAGCCATACGCGGTTACCGCACCGTTTCGACGGAGGTGGCGTGCGCGTTGGCCGGAACTCCCCCGTGGGATTTGGAGGCGGAAGTGCTCGCCGAAGTTTATCGGTGAGTGGCTGACTCCCGGGCGGAGAGCGGATTTCGCCCTCCGCCCGAGGATGTGCGCGAGTGGCGCGAAGCCGCTCGCCGAGCCACGATGGCTCGTTGGTCGTTCCGGCTGGAGACTCCACGCGCTGGCTTCGCCGCCGTGGAGGCTCTCCAGCCGGTCATCGCCGAGTGGGCAGGGCGGCAGCACGGGACCCTTTCCTTCCGGCTGACGCAGGTGCTTTCCGGGCACGGTTGCTTCGGAAAGTACCTGCACACGGTCGCTAGGAGGGAACTGAGTCCCGCCTGCCACCACTGCGACTGCAGTGAGGACTCGGCCCAGCACACGCTGGCGGTCTGCCCCGCATGGGCGGCGCAGCGCCGGGCCCTCACTGCAGTCATCGGAGTGGATCTCTCGCTACCGGCCGTAGTACGCTCCATGGCCGGTAGCGACAGTTGTTTTTCCGCGGTCGCAACCTTCTGCGAGGTAGTAATCTCGCGGAAGGAGGCGGCGGAGAGGGCCCGGGAGGACGACCTCCACTCGGACCCGATCCGCCGCCGGCGAACCTGGCGGCGGAGGCCCGCCTATCACAGCCTCATGCCGCCCTGAGTGTGGCCGCGGGTGGACGGGGTGGGTTTCCCCTCCACCCGCATTAGTTTGGCCAGCCGCGAGGGGGCGGCGTCCGCGTGTGCCGGACGTCGCCTAAAGAGAGGAAAATATTGAGACGGAGCCCGCACCAGGAGCGGGCTGGCGCTAGGAGGGGTCCGGATGTCTTAACAACAGCTGTTCCCGGATCCCTCCTGTTACAGGCGCAGAGTGGCACACCGTGTGGTTTTAGTCGGTCCGAGTCCGACACACCACCCCGCCGCAAACCCCGGAGGGGTGACGGTCCGAGGGGATTTCCACACGTTAAAAAAAAAAAAAAAAAAAAAAAAGGGTTTGTTTCAAGTTTTTCTTCTCTTTGTAGTGCTATTGTCCTGTGTAATTTGCTCCCTGAGGCGACTCTTACGGCACCCACGGGATGAACAGGGGTAGTGACACTGCGTATTCTTTATCCGTCACCACACAGACGCACATTAAATGCACAAGATCAATAAATCTTAAGAAGTTTTCTTGTACAAACGTCGAGCTAATACTATAATACGATTCCACCTTTAAGTGACAGAACGCATTAATATTTGATAAAATAATTGTTAAACCACCAAAAAATATTCATTTTACTTCAGCTACATCAATTTTTTTTCCTCAGTTGGTGTTCCGGCATTCTATGAGGAAGATCCCACAATTAAAGAGAAGAAATATGAAAATTTAGCCAAGACCGTGACGCCTAAACTGGAAAAGCTGAACGAAGTGATAGTCAAGAATAATGGACATCTCGCTGCAGGAAAGGTACTTTATATTACTAAACTCGAGAGAATTCTTCATATCGCGATACAGGTTTAGAAATTCTGATTCAGGAGTTACTCCGTAGTTCGGTGTGGCTTCGTTAGATGGCGCTATAGTATGTTTCTGTTTCTTTGTATGAGTGGGAGTCGCCACAAGTCACTGCCGCCACTCCACACTTTTCATATTCATCTTTCATTTTATTATGTTCAGTTAAGCTGACTCTACACTATGCGAAAACTTTGCGACGATTTCGCTCTAATAAAACTACTTTGTAGAGTTCGTTCATGAGCTATCACTGCTGAAATGTTATCAAGCAAAAATGTTTTTAAAGGGACTCAGATTTCTTCAAGTATTTTTCAAAATTTTTAAATGCAAATTATTACAGCTGCTGAAGTAACAAGGCCACGGTGCATTTGCAAAGAGCCCGCAAACTAAGTGGAAATTCTTTTTGTGCAAATTTCGCGGCATGAATTATCTCGTGAACTTCTTGTGAGCGCTAATGTAGAGCCTACGTTTTAGTTGCCTGTTCAGTGATTGACTGGAAATAGGAAACTAAAAATGCGGGCTCTGTATTGGTTGGCAATTCGTTCAAACTGCTAAGTAGTTCTTTCAAACTGCTAAGTACTTTTGTTATGTTTTACAACTGTTCTTAATTGTTTTGCAGCTGACATGGGGCGATTTCATATTCGCTGGTTCATTCGATTATTTCAAAGCACTGTTAAGGATGCCAGATCTAGAAAAGGAGTATCCAGCCTTCCAACAAGTCATCGACAATGTGTACTCTAATCCTAAAGTGAAAGCGTACGCGGATGCGGCTCCAAAATCTCTCTTTGGATTTTAAAAAACAAATATTTTACTACAACGTCTTAATGTTATCTCAAGTGATGAGTGAATGTATTATTTAAATTATTAATTTATTATACATTTTGGTTAATTGTGTTGTTATTATTTAGTAGTAGTAAAATCTGCGTACTTAAAATAACTGAAGAAGTATATAAAACAAATGAAAGTGAGAAGGCGGTCGTTGTTGACAAGTTAAATCTATGCTGTTCAATTATTAAAAATCGTTGTCGCTATTGTTATAGCTTATACTTAGATTCCCACCAAATCGCAGACTCAGAACATTAATTTTATATCGTAGAACAGAGTCTTCGGTAGTATAGTGGTCAGTATCCCCGCCTGTCACGCGGGAGACCGGGGTTCGATTCCCCGCCGGAGAGATTTCATTTTGAAATTTATTTTATTTTCAACTCAGACTTATTAAACTTTTTTCGCTTTTGGTCCCAATTATGTGATTTTTTTACTAACTTAAACAAAACAAACTCGTTTGTTTTTATCACATGGTATCTTAAAATACCTAATGCCATATTAGGTGTAACACAACAGGTGTCACACTACACTAGTACCGTAAGTCCCAATATGACTAAAATGTAACTTTCATGAAGTTAAGTTAGAACTCAATTGCACAAAACCTGGAGAGACAGCTATCCTTTCCTAAAGGGTATCCTCATAGTATGTAGTAGAACTTTTTTATTTTTCAGATTTTTCTCTTTACTTGTGCTGTCATACTTGCTTTTAATCAAAATTGGCAAGGTCAACTGGCAGTACCCTATAGGTTTTGGGTCGAACTAACCAAACCAAACTATATTAATACAAGTGAAAAAAAAGAAAAAGTATAAATTTAAATTTTGAGACTTCAAAATAAATCCTCTCCAGCGGGGAATCAAATCCCGGTCTCGGATAGATGTCTTATTGGTGCAAGAAAACACTAAATTCGACGCGGACGAAGTACTCGTAGTAGGCCCTGCCAGCGATATATCAGGACATTAATTTTATATCATAGTACAGAGTCTTCGGTAGTATATCAGTATCCCCGCCTGTCACGCGGGAGACCGGGGTACGATTCACCGCCGGAGAGAAATTTATTTTGAAGTCTAAAAATTTCAATTTATACTTTTTCATTTTTTTTCACTTGTATTAATATAGTTTTCAGCAATTATGTTAAAATGCATTTCTTAGCAATAATCATATACAGTTCAGTTCCATTTATTTGTAATTTTTTTATTATCTTTTACCCTTAAAATTATTTGTTGCGCCTGTTTAAAGAGATATATCTATAAAAGAAGGAACTGACAGACTGATTCACTGACTGTTGGATCAGCGCACAGCTGCAACAGCTGGGTCTAGAAGCATGAAATTTTGCACAAATATCCCTTAGGTACAAATGCACCTTAGGTAACGTAGGTGTGTAGGTGTCGCAGAATAACTTCCGTCCTCCATAAGCGCAGGCCTGGGGGTGACAGGTGAGGCCATCTGTCACCCTAGCAGAAGCAGGGGTGGCGGCGAGCGCGTTGCGAAGCGCGCCCACTTCCAGGGAGCAGAGGGAACATGGGGTTCCCACACGAAGGGGGGGCCGTCTACTCGTCTGTAGATGGCCCGAGGTATGTCGGGGCACCAGGGACTTCCTTTCTAGGGTATATCTGGTTCCCCGGCTATTATAACCCGAGACGGCGTGCGATTTTAGTCGGTTCGTGTCCGACATGCCACAGGTGGTATCCGAGGGGATTTCCGCACGGGAAAAAAAAAAAAAAAGGAAAAAGGTGGTATCCGAGGGGATTTCCGCACGGAAAAAAAAGGTGTGTAGGTGTGTATTAACTCACAATAAATATATAATATAATACATAAGATTTTATACATTTCACACACGGCTGTCTAAAAACATACGTATATATTTCTAAATACATACATTGGTATACCCAGACACAGAACAAATGACCGTGCACATCACACAATTATTTGTCCTGGGTGGGAATCGAACCCACGACCTCTGGCATAACAGTCAGGGCCACTAACCACTAGACCAACACACCAGTCAAATACTCATTAGTTTGTATCTTCTTTGAAAATATACACATAATATTCAGTAGGTATAGTTCTAAGATGAGGCCTATGTCCAGCAGTCCAATGAATCAATCATCATATTATGTGATGATTGATTCATTGTATCCTCTACGATGTCTGATGTCGACCACAGCGCGGACGAAGTCACGGGCATAAGCTAGTCATCTATATAAAATTGAACCTAATTCTTACTACTAATCAAAGACGTTATTGGTCTATCCTAATAACATGTATCATCATCATCATCATCAGCCTATCGCAGTCCACTGCTGGATATAGGCCTCTTCCATTGCCCGCCACTTATATCGATTTTGATAACATGTATTCAATTTATACTTAAACTGAAACTTTATATAAAACCTCCACACGGCATCGTACAAAGGCTTACACCTTCCTTCTTAATGTCTCTAATCTAAGTACCTTCAAGCGTTTAGCCCTTCCCTTCGGGATAGCCAGACATAATATCCCGCAACTTGCATCAACCTTTGACATGACGAGATGTCTTCTACTGTCTTAAGCTGTTTTTGCAAGCCCGCCGGCTTCCTGAGCTACTTACATGCTCGTTTTCTTCGGAACAACACATATTTGAGGAGATTAAATTCAACCACCACTTTTATTTCTGTATATATTTGTTTTGTTTTTCTAAGAACAAATATTTCTTTACTAATAAAGAAGAACAACACACATAATTAACAATTTTGTTTAATAAATTAATAATATATACAATACATTCCGTCATCTCTTGAGAAAACCTTGGGGTATTGAAGTAAAATTTGACGTTAAAATGGAGATTTTGGTGCAGCATCTGCGAATGCTTTCACTTGAGGAATGGAGTACACATTGTCGACGACTTGCTGGAACGCTGGATACTCTTTTTCAAGGTTAGGCATCCTCAGCACTGCTTTTAATGCATCGAATGTACTTGCGAACACGAAATCACCCCATGTCAGCTGCAAAATAATTAAGAACAGTTTTAAGGACGTTGAAGAAAATATAGCATAAACACTGTGAAGTTTTAGTGTTAGTTAGTCAAGGACTTAAATATTTCACATCACATCACATCAACAGTCCACTGCTGGACATAGGCGTCTCCTTAGAAAGGAGGTTTTCGCCTACTATACCACGCTGGCCAGACGGGTTGGTATAGGGTTTGTGTCAAGTAATCTGAGCCCTTACGACACCCACGGGATGGATTGGGGTAGTGATATTCCGTATTCTTAATCCGTCACTACACGGACACGGACACTTAAATATTTATTACGCGAAAAGAATTCATTCACACTCGTAAAAAAAATTTGTCAGGTCCTCACGCTTGTTGAAAATGGTAACTATGATAATCTTTATATTCCGTTTGTGTTTTTTTAAATAAAGAATCTCTGGTTCCCTTTAAAAACAGCATTGCTCGATAACAGTAGAGCAGTGAAGCTTACGATCGAGCTCTACAAGATAATAATTTTATTAGGTCCACTTGTCGTCCCATCTCCTACGCTACTGTATCATCATCATCATCAACAGCCTTTAATAGTCCACTGCTGGACATAGGCCTCTCCTTAGAAAGAAGGTTTGGGCCTACTATACCACGCTGACCAGACGGGTTAGTATAGGGTTTGTTTCAAGTTTTCCTTCTCTTTGCAGTGCTGTTGTCCTGCGTAGTTTGCTCCCTTAGTGGTCTCTTACGTCACCCACGGGATGAATAGTGGTGTACGCTACTGTAAATAACTCTAAAATTCCGTGAACTCAGTGCGAACTCACACTCTTAAGCTGTTCGCACTGCCAGTGTAGAGCCGCCTTGTCTAAAGCATGAGCATGAACAAGAACTGAACTCTGAACTAAACGATTACTGTGGGAAGTAAGAACTAGTGTTGTAGTAGTGTAGTATTACATAAGTTAAGTGCAATAATATCAGGCACCTTTCCTGCAGCAAGATGTCCATTATTCTTGACTATAATCTCGTTCAGCTTTTCCAGTTTAGGTGTCACGATCTCAGCCAAATTTTCATATTTTTTCACTTTGACTGCCTCGTCTTCTTCTTTGTATATCGCAGCACCAACTAGCGAAAATAAATTAGAAAAATAAAGACGTTATAATTTAAGAGTTTTAGTAATTTAAAAGTGGAGCTTTTTTTAGTTTTATATTTTCAAGTGTTATTCTAGGTTACCATATTGTTACTGAGATACATTTTAGTTGATAGTCTTGTAATCGCTCTTAGAATGTTATCCAAATACTAACCAGCATTGTCTGCAAGAATTATCATATTGAAATAGTATTGGTTCCAAAACAGTCGAATTGAGAACTTCCTCTTTTTTGAGTTTTTTAACAATAAAGCATATTATTCCATAAACGAATATTTCAATGACCAATTTTAATACTATTGACATTCATTGATTATTTTTACTAAAAAATTTAATTATCTTTTATTATTATTACTTAATTTGACCAGAACTGATGATGACTTTAAATTATATATACTTATATGGATTGATGACTTTGTTTATGTAAAATGATGATGCTTTATTTAAACAATACTCTTAGAATATTTAAGGAATGTACCTAATTTCAATGACGTATTATAATATTGCTTTGTTTATATATCATTGCCTAATATTTTGTATGCCTTTCGGCGGGACATAGCTTATACATAATTAATTGACATCTTAACCACCTATGTATCACAAAATTGAATAAATAAATGAAAATGAAAATGAAAAAGTCCGTTAAAAAGATTGTCGGGTACACCAGATGGCAGCCAGTGTTCCTAACATTGGCTGCCATCTGGTGTAAGATCTAATCAACTATCTCTGAAAAGTATTTAATTACTCATCTAAGATGGGTAATTTTTATTGGATTTAGTATACTATAGAAACTCCATCACATCAAAAGCCTTTAATAGTCCACTGCTGGACATAGGCCTCTCCTTAGAAATAAGGTTTTATCCTACTATACCACGCTGGCCAGGCGGGTTGGTATAGGGTTTGTGTCTAGTTTTCCGTCTTTTTGCAGTGCTGGTGTCCTGCGTTGTTTTGCGCCCTTAGTCGGTTCTTACGACACCCACGGGATGAATTGGGGTAGTGACATTCCGTATTCTTAATCCGTCACTACACGGACAGTAGAAACTCCATAACTAGTGTTTTTAGATAACATATACTTATTTCTTAGGATTACAAATATATTCTCTGCCCACTTCATAGCGTTTTATACAATGTAAAAGATGTCTTCTACTATAAGTTAGACAAGCAAACCCTCTCGCTCAGAATACTCACTATTACGGATATCAACTAAAAAGTCAACATTCTGGTCGATCTCGAAGGCCTCGTCTTCATTATCACCAGCGATTCCGTATTTTCTACCCAAGAACCGAGAGATAGCGGTGCTCTGTGCGTATTGTTTTCCGTCAATCTCCAACAGTGGCAGTTGATTAAAGGGGGTTTCTGAAAGTTACAAAATCAATAGCTAATGTAAGCTAACACAAAGTATTTTACAGTGGCGCTAATATTACTATGGTTCTCTGGTATCTCCAGAAATAATATGAATATTTAGAAACAGTTCTAATAAGAGTACTTATATTACAAATGTGTAAATGAGTTTGTTAGTTATACTTTCACGCCTAAACCACTAAACCAAGTTAAAAAATTCAATTTAAAAAGCTCCATTATCTGCGAGTAACATAGACTATTTTTTACCGCGATTACCAGCATAAACACAGTCGGAGCCGCGGGCAAAAGCTAGTTAGAAATATTCGACTTCGAAGTTGATTATGATTTCATGTTACTGTTTTGTGTCAATTATATAAAGGTTTCTTATTAATATTTTCATACAGATAGTTTTCCTCTTTACGGGCAATTAACTCAACGATTCCTCCGTCACCGATCATTTTCCGATTCATTCCGTCACGAACTGTCACTACGGGTTGGTTGTTATCTAAAAGCTCCACTAGAGTATATTACTTAACTGTGGTAAATGTTGATCTACAGTGCAGTGTTATAGTGCGAACTTTAATTAATCTGAGTAACTATCTTTTACTGGTTAGAACATGGTGAGTGTATTGTGATTTTAAGTAAAATAAGCTTACCGAACTGATTAACGCAAAACTTATAGTAGCTTTACCCGCACTTAACATTATAATAGGGCATCAAGTGTGAACGCGTAAGCGACGCCGTATACAGCGCTCTTACGACCTTTCGGTCGCGACGTTGCGTTGCTGCGCTGCGACCCGTGGGCCTTTATTGGTGTGCCACTACAATAATTTAAGTTATGCTAGTGACTATCTTGGACGTGAGTCTTTCTTAGTGTGCACTTTTGTAGCTTGTTTGTGACTGTTTTGAGTTGGTCTCGTCGTGTTGTTGTTCGGACGCTGCGTTTCATTGTTTTGTGTACTGCATAGGCTTTTGTGGGCAGTGTCTGGCGATAGCTAATTGCGGCATTACTCAGCATACTTTTGCAAGAGTGATTGTTAAAACGTAATAAGCGCCACATTATAAGCTTATAAATAAAAATGACAGAGCGTACACTTGAGCGCGACTTGGAACAAACGGTCGATTTGAACTTACTCCGCGATGATCTGCTATCTTCATTTGCAACTTTGAGACAGGAACAGAATGAAAAATTTTGCAAACTGCAAACAAATATGGAGCATATCAAAGCACAAAATGTCGAACTGCAGGCTGCCGTCGAATTCATGGGGCACCGATACGATGAAATGGTGGAAAAATTGGCTCGCTTTGAGCTTGAAAGGAAGAACAGTTTAGAGTACATTAAATCGCTAGAGGATAAAGTCGACAACCTTGAACGAAATTCGAAATCTGCAAGCCTTGAGATACGCAATGTTCCCAAAAAACCAGGAGAGTCTAAAGAGGATCTCCTCCACATTGTGAAAACCATCGGAATAACCATGAACACTCAAATTTCAGCGCAGGAAGTTCGGGATGTTTACCGCACTAGGAACAACAAAAGCTCTGAAGCTGCGGGAACTGTTTCAGTAGAATTCACGAGCGTCATTTTAAAAGAAAAATTACTTTCAAATGTAAAAAAATTCAACAGAGAGAACAGGTCGAACAGACTTAATAGCTCACACATTAATTTGGGAGGGAATACCCCCATTTATATTTCGGAGAGTCTCACCTCTAAAGCGAAGAAACTATATTATCAGGCGCGGGAGTTTACTAAGACAAATAATTATGCCTACCGCTGGACTTCTCACGGAAGAGTTTTTATCAGGAAAAAAGAGGGGGAACCGGCCATGAGAATAGACCAGCAATCAGATCTTGAAGGACTGACATCCTGCATGAAATGACTATCTGGTGAATTCAATAAACAGAAACAAATCCCTTTATATATAATATATCTAATCTACCTCACATTTATTGAACTGGAAACTACTTCTACAATGTATGTTTTACCCGTTACGAGGTTCTTGTTCTCCATTTTTTGTTGTTACCTGTGCACATGTACGTGTGTAAATGGACAAAAATATACATACAGTAAGATTACCCTGCAACAAAAAAAAAATACTATTTATTGTAATTTATAACTTACCAAACTTAATATTTATTGTAATGTATAACTTACCAAACTTGCAGATTACACACGCCCGTACTTTTTACAGATACTGCAATTATGCATCTATTCACACTAACATACACATTCATTACACTATGCGTTTTGCAATAACAATATTGTGCGAGTACTACATTGCAGTTAACAGAAACGTTTTGATTATATATGTGTTATCATCTCACATCCAGAAACAATTATTACATATCTTAACGAACATAAAATCCACAGAGTATTTCATAGAACAAGAAGCACGCTATAGCTACTTAAGAAATTATAATGTAAAATATATTGATTTAATTTTATCTGTGGCCCAAGCAAATTTTAATACTAAAACGAACAAAAAGGTATTTCTAAACTTTAAAGCCTACAGTATATCTAATTTTTCTATTAGCTTTCTAAACAAAATGGATACTCGTATTGATCTAATAATAATAAACACGTCTAAATTATTTATGTTTCTGACACTGCTCATAACTCCCAATCGACTTTATATTTGTATTCTGTTGTTCATAATCACCCAAAAGTGTCACCATTTTACTAATAAAATTCGATCTCCAAATCATTAAAGAGGTTGATGAAAGGGAACATGTAGACTGTAGGTCTGTTATGGTCAACAGTACGTGTTCACAACTACTGAACCATAATACGAGTACAGGAACAAATAGATCGATGACAATAATTAGCTTCAACATTAGAAGTATAAACTGCAATTTGGACCACTTTCTGGCATTTGTTACCTCATTAAAGATTCCTATAGATATATTTGTATTTTCGGAGTGCTGGACAGATATAGAACATCCACCTCCCAACATTCCTGATTACAACAAGCATTGGACACAATCTAGTCTTAACCAAAATGACGGCGTTGTTGTGTACATTCGCAGTGAAATTATGAGCAGTGCTTATGAGCCAGGTGTACAAGAGGGCAATTGCCTCATTATCACAGTAAAACCTGACTATACATTAGTTTGCTCCTATCGCCCACCGTGCTTTTCAGATACTAAACCATATCTTGAATCATTAGATACGGTTTTAAGTAACATCCGTACTAAAAATATTATTTTTACTGGAGATATCAACATCGACATTACACCGGAAAGCCTAAGTCAGTCTTCGAACAATTATTTAAATCTGATGGCAGCACATGGCCTTATGCAAGGTATCACAAAACCAACTAGAATGGGTAGAACATGTTTAGATCACTACATGATTAAATGTTCCAGTAACTGGAAAACGTTGGTATTTGACCACTTAATTACAGATCACTCGCCCATACTGCTCCACATTGAAAATTCTACAGTAGTTAAACATAAGGTTGAACACAAAAAAATACAAATCGACTACAAAACTATTAGTGAATTACTGACCAATGATACTTGGGTTGACTTGTATAACACTAATATTGCTTCGGAAATATTATTGACCAAACTGTGTAATATTGTATCAAAAAACACCACGACGACAATAACTTCTAATAAACATAGACCTTTAAAGCCATGGATAACTGTGGGGGTTGTTAAATGTATTAGAAGGAGGGATAAACTACATAAAATTGCCGTACGATCTAAAAATGATACGCAACAAATGCATAAATACCATAAATATAGAAACACTTGTAATTATATAATAAAATGTTTAAGGCAAAAATATTATCAAGAAAGATTGCAATCTTCTAAAGGCAATGCAAGAGAGACATGGAAAACAATAAAGGAAGTGTGTGATATGAAAAGTAAAAATGAAAGAGCTGATGAGTTACTTCATATCGACGATCCACCAGCAAAAGCTCTCAGTATAGTAAACAACTATTTTACCGGAATTGGATGTTCACTCGCTAAAAAACTTCAGGACCTGATTCATAAGTCGGAATATGACCTAGCTCGAGAAGCCAGGAACGGTACAGCTCCGCTAAATTCCATGTCCCTAAGACCTACAGATCCATCTGAAGTTAAAAGCATTGTTTTAGGACTCAAATCGCACAGTGCTCCCGGGTGGGACAGCGTAACAACTGACATTGTAAAACGAAACATCACATCTCTCGCCCCACCTATTGCTTATCTGTGCAACTTGAGCATGGAAACGGGCATCTTTCCTCCAATCTTTAAAAAGGCGGTTGTTTGTCCTATTTTTAAATCTGGAGACAAGCAAGAACCTTCGAATTACCGGCCCATCTCCCTTTTATCAACATTATCAAAGATACTGGAAAAAATTATTAACAAAAGGCTGATAGCGTACTTAGAAACTAACAAAATTCTTAGTGATCGCCAGTTCGGATTCAGGCATCAAAAATCTACAGAAGACGCAGTCCTTAAGCTCACCTCTACTGTGGTATCGCACCTGGATAGAGGAGAAAAATGTTTAGGAGTTTTTCTAGACCTGCAAAAAGCATTCGATACTGTGTCCATACCAATTTTATTGTCACGCCTTGATAATGTTGGTATTAGGGGGGTGGTGCTAGACTGGTTTGAGGATTACCTGACTGATAGATCCCAGGTTGTCAAAGTGGCAAATCACGTAAGTGAGGAGTCCACCTACAATTACGGTATTCCGCAAGGTAGTACGCTTGGCCCATCTCTGTTCCTCATTTATGTGAATGACTTGTGCGGCACTGCCTTACCAGGATTGGATATGATAATGTTTGCTGATGACACGGTGTTGATATGCTATGCAGCTACCTGGAAGAAAGCATTTGATATGGCTGCGAGTGGATTGGCTACAGTCACGGCTTGGTTGGAAAACAGTCTCCTGTCGTTGAATACTAACAAGACCAAGTATGTCTGTTTTAGCATAACATCTGTTAGTAATCCTCCTCCTGAATACTGTCTCAAAATACACACCTTTCCTTGTAACCGGAATACAGATAGGCATTTATGTGACTGTGCAACACTGACGCGTGTAGCCTCCATAAAATACCTAGGTGTAACAATAGATGATCAACTGAAATGGAACCTCCACCTCATGTCAACAACTTCGAGGGTTAGACGACTTATACATATATTTAAGAGCCTGCGCGTAATAGCTGACGTCCCGCTTCTCATACAATCTTATAGAGCGCTATGCGAATGCCTTATAAGGTACTGCATATGCGCCTGGGGTGGTGCCGCTAAAACCTTCATGATTAATGTAGAACGCGCACAGCGCGCTGTTTTAAAAGTCCTTTTATACCTACCATATAGATATCCCACGACTGCACTTTATGAATATACAGAGGTATTATCTGTAAGGAAGTTATATATTTATGAAACACTACGGAGATATCATAGGAAAACAGTCCCTAACTTACCTGCACAAAATAAAAGAGTAGAACGGTTTCCAGTCCCTCGTACTAAAACTAGTTTTGCACAAAAACAATACAAATTCTTAGCTCCACATATATATAACAAATATAACAAAATCGGTAAAATTAGTAAACTAAATAACCATGCAGTAAAAAAGGCCATCCTTACGTGGTTAAATTCATTAAATTATGACAGCACTGAAGACATAGTCACGAATAAATATACGTAACAAGCAAGGCATTCACATACACACAAAAATTCAAATGCACGCACATACACACATGCACGCTCACACACGCACCCGCTCGCACACACGCACCCCCAGACACACGCACACACACACAAACACAGACACACGCACACATACACACACAAACTCAGACACACACACACATACACACACAAACTGGGTAATTAAAGTTAATATGATGATTTTTATGTTTAAGTTTTTATTTTTTTTGAGTTTCTTTTTGTTTTGTTAGTCTTTTTTTTTTTATTGTATTGCTTATTTAACTATGACATAGAGTTCTTTATATTACGTGCGGAAAACACTGTCTCCTGCAACACAGTTTAAACTAGCGCAGGAGCCAGGGGATTCTCAATCATATGTGTACCAACTTAAATGTCAATAAATTATTATTATTATTATTATTATGATTTTCGATTCGAACGAAAAACATCGGTTGTTATAACTCTTGATCACTAAGTATAGGAATTATTTTGGAAATTTCGAATATAAATATAACAAAATATTTCATACTTACTTGTTTTGAAGTCAGGCCATTGCTCTTGTGTTAAGCGGTTGTCTTCAAACTCTTGTCCTCCAAAAGCCAACAGTATACGGGGACCCTCACCTAAACCCCTCACAGTGAAGTAATAAAAAACATATTTCGACATTGTTCTGTAAAGAGATATAAAAATAAAAGGTTACTAAAAATCAGAAGATTGTTTCAACAGTGAAGGGTCTTAAAATGCATTAAATATTTAGTATATGGATTTGGATTTTTATTATAGGAATGTAAACATTCACCACCACCGTTCACCCACAGAGGTATCACGGCCACACAAAAAATTGGTTTTAAGTGATTCTTTCGTGTTTTCGTGATTGAAGTTGTCGGAGGTTTAAACCACTCTCTCTAAATCGTGGTGGAGGGAGGGATTGTCAAGTGGTGGAAACTCTATTGTGTCTTTTGAGTTGTAGGCGTCTAAGGGTTGCTGTAGTCAACTACCCTTCAATAAGAAAAACTAGTTACACTTAACTAGCTGTCTGATGGTTCACATTTCAATTTGCCGTACTATTTTAATAATAACGTGCAAGTGACTTAAACGTTCTTTTGGTTCTTTTTTCGTTTTCTTTTCTTTTATTAATTTTATTAGTGATTTTAAATGTCAGCGTCAGTTATGAAATAAATACTTTCCTTCACTGACCTGCTTTCATGCACTGCTTAGCTTGAAACTAGATGGCGTTGTGTGTCAGATGTCCGAAAATATAATAGTCTTTATTCAACTTTTTATCCGTGTGGTGAGGGATTAAGAATACGTAATGTCGCTACCCCTATTCATCCCGTGGGTGTCGTAGAAGTCGACTAAGGGAGCAAATTACTCAAGACAACAGCTCTGAAAAGAGAAGGAAAACTTGAAACATACCCTATACCAACCCGTCTGGCCAGCGTGGTATAGTAGGCCAAAACCTCCTTTCAGAGGAGAGACCTATGTCCAGCAGTGGACTGTCATAGGCTGTTGATGTGATGATGTGATGTGATTCAACTTGATACTATTTCGCACTGTAATGCATTGATTATGGCCCTGCTGTCTGACGGCGCTTCTCCTGGGTAATCATTATAGTATATGGACGGCAAACGGGTATATGGCAACGGAAATATGGTAAAATGTGGTTGGCAAACGGGTGAGCCAAAGCGGCCATGGGACTGAGACAGCAGTAACATAACAGATTAATTTTATTTGTTCTATCATTCAATGTAATATACTGTAACAAACACTGCGTTTTCTCACTCAATTCTATCAAGGCAGCAACATAGCATCAACTATCATAAAATAAATAATGAATCTTTATGATTAGTAAACGATAAAACTAATTTATTTGTAGTACTTACATATCGGGGCTTGATACGTGTGTTCTTGCTCTATGACGCGAGCTAACTGCTGATTAGTGCTGATGTATTGGTTTAATAGGCGGTTTTTTATATCTATAACAGAGGTTCCCAAACTTTACTACATTAAAAAAACTGGTTTTGGTTTAGACCCCGCTGTTACATTTCTACCAAATTGCAAAACTCGTAAAAACTTTGTGATTAAGTATATGATGTGACAATGGAAAGTCGCGTTGCGTTGCCCTAAACTCGGGGTATTGCTGGTAAGAAAAATATTATTTCTTGTGTTCTATTTATTAAAATAACATAATTACAAACGTAAAAGTTGCTCCCTTAGTCGGCTCTTACGACAGCCACGGGATGAATAAGGGTGGTGCCACTCTGTATTCTTAATCCGTCACCACACGGACGCGTACAGTGTCGCTTGATCTCGCTTACACCTCTCCGTTAGAACAAGGCAATAGTAAAAAATATGGCGTCGTCATTACTGTTTTGAAATATTATTAAAGTATATTTTTTTTACAATTAATTAATTGATAAATAATTGAATCGTATGTTATTACAGTTTTATTTAAGTATTCCCTAAAACTACATAAGGGGCCATTCCTTAATAAGGTAAGGATGATTTGACCCCCGTATCCCCAAGGATACATAAGATTTCTCGAACCGGGAAGAGTGAGGGGCTCTTCTTACGTAATATTCAATCTCATTTTTCTGAATAATAAAACGTTGTTAGAAAATCATCAGTTTCACTAAAACTCACAGTTTGACATAAATCAAAGATTTTATTATTTAACAGATAACTTAGGCTGTGCTTTGTGTTTATTTTATTACTTTATTGCTATCACATATAGATTATCTTTATATTATAGATAACTATTTAGTCTTTGGAATATTATTATTACAATTAAAAGGAGGTTTTTACAATACATGCGAGTGACACGAAGTGATACGTTGTTTTAGTATTAGAGTGTGTATCTATGGTTTGTTTGATCGAAACCGCTAACAGAAAATTGCTGCAAATGTTGCTGCTTGATGCTACAACTTTATGGTACTAAAAGGCAGTGAATAAAACTTGCACTACTGGAAAGGATAGATAGAATTAAATTAGAATTAAAAACTAGATAAAATTACTAAATTTTGACTTTTTATTCTGCTACTTTGAGCTCGTTACATACCTATTGTGCAATCGCCTAATTGCCTGAAGCGTCAACCAGGTCACACTAACCTTAGCCTGACAGGCTGACTAAAATAGTGTGCGCCATCCGTCGTCGAATCCGTGAAGTAGAAGGTTTACCTTTCCGACCCCTTTCGGCACTTTTTTGCCCTGTAATACATGCCTTTAAAATTTTAATAATAATCAACACTTACAAGGAGAAATATACCATATGAACGACGAACAAGAGTAGAAAATGCTTTGTCAATTGCATTTTTTATCTTATTATCAAAAAAAAAATCGACAAAGATAGTACAACAAACAAAAGACTGCATATAATTATTAAATATTTGTCTTAAGTTTTATAATATGATAAACTCTTCTTGTGACATCTTCATTACTAATCTTTTGTTTAATATTTTTATAAGTATTGACTCATGTTCTACAAACTATATAATGCCATATAAAAATGTACAAAGTAACCCGCCCACCCACTAAGCGTTGTCATTGCACATTATTGTCCAGATGTTAAAGTCATTTGTGACAAATAAAAAAAAGAAAATCAATGTTCTATTCTTTATTTAAAGAGGCTGTCAGTGCTCAAAACGAAGCTGTTAGTTATCAAAGAAAGGAAGCACAAAGATTATTCAAAGAACATATTATTATATCCTGGTTACTTCGCTAAACTGAATGCCGTTAATTATTGAGCAGAATAATAGACACGTCGCTGCAGGTCGCCTGATAGATTAGAGATGACCCTTAGACACGCAACCGAACAAAAAACTCGTCAGATTTATTATCTTACTATAGAAGTATAGGTATAAAGACGTTGCTTATGTTTGTTTTAGACAAGACTTTACCAAAAGAAATACAAAAAAATCTTAAAATTGAAGAGCACTGAAGATCTTATAGATAAAATATAGATACATAAGCACATCAAAAAAGTCTAAGCAAAAAAACGAGCTCAGTTCTTCTGTTAATCATATTACCCGCTCATACCATCACTGTCTAGCCACTGTGAGTGTGCACTTCCAGGGCCTCAATTCTGCTCTTTTATGTTTACGCCAAGCCACTGTCATACCACTGATACGCTATTGAGATGCCATCGAGTGGCCATTGGCATCGGTATAAATATCGGTAGTCTACACTAACTCAGTGTCTTTACAGTGGCAATGGAATGGCAGTGGCAACAAAACAACAAAAAAACACCACATACTCCTGGCTCCTATATCCCATATCCCCATATAGGAGCCAGGAGTATGTGGTGTTTTTTTGTTGTTTTGTTGTTGTTTCGCCCTACTCTAGGGAGAACTCGGGCCATGTGATTTCAGGTCCCCCCAGATCGACGCCGCACTTAACTAGGCCCCATCTCAGGGAAAGCCAGTGGCTTCTCCCGGCCTATAAGCCTTGATGCCCGGTCATACTTTCAGTGCGATCAGGCTGCCATCCTATCCCCTACCGCAGCAATTAATCTGCCACCAGAAGTCCCCACTCTCTGGCGGCCCGCGGTTGTATACAATGCCTAGGAAATGTTTACGATTCCTAAAATAGATAGCAAATGTATAAAATGATTTGTAATATGTATTATATGTAATATGTATATATAATAATATATATATATATATATATTATTTTAGGCAATTTATACATTTCCTGAATATCAATCTTAAATGTATAAATTATATTCGGGATGTAAGTGGGTACTCAGTTCTCAGTTCACTTACGTGTTTTATTTAGGCTTTAAGCATTCGTTTTTAAATATTTCCTAGTATCATTTCGAAATTGTTTACAATTCAAATTTCAAATTGTGTATAAAAGAATATCTGAAACATTATTTTACGCATTTATTAAATAGGTTCGGCATTTTATAGATTTCTTAGTAAATTAAACACAATTCCTAAATTGTCTATATTTTTGGCAACATACGTACAGGGATACAGGTGATACATTCAATAGCCGGTACGAATGCGTTAATAAATTTTGGCCTTGGACGCTATCGCCACAGCCAGCGTATCTTGTATTGTAGCCGTCTGTTGCGGCTCCTGTCGCGATACACCGAAACCTATAATTATGTTTTGCGCACACAAATAATCCCTGAATGTTTACCGGTGGACTATCTGAACCGGAAAATTAGATGAATATTAATTAAATTTACGTGTTCATCGCCATAAACTTCGCTTTGAGAAAACTTCCTTAACTGCCACACCCATTTCGGATATGTATATGGAATTATGTTCTCATCTCTGGCCAAAACGAATTCTACGGAGGAAGATTTAAATCATCGATTGCCAGGATATTTCAGATCGGGTTGACCATCGGGCTAAAAGATGTAGCTTTACTTTGCATTCTCTTTAACTTGTATGTATTATAAATTTTTTTGCCTCGCACAACCAATCTGTTGAATAATTGATTGCCTCCGGTATTTTTAACGAATAGGAATCGACACCAGTGACCCAAGATTTTCAAGATTAATTGCAAATAATTAACTGCACGGATGGCGCAGTGGTTTAAGCGGTCGCCACGCCGCTTCCTACTGCACCGAGTGTTGTGGGTTCAAACCCCACATGGGACGAAATTTTGTGTGATCCAAAAAAAAAACCATTGATTAAGAAAAATAAAAGCAAGCAAGAAAAAAAAAAGGTGTGAAGGGTTTGTGGACCCCGGTCGGAACGTAGTTCCTGTCGCTATTTGGTAGACGATTGCTGTATATATGAAATATGAAAAAGATGTGACCGTCGATGCACCAACTGAAGTGTCGCAGAAAAGTCTTGTTGCGCCTTTTTCCGTCTCGCTCCCATTCGCTCAGAGCGTTTTATGAGCGATAAGGAACTTCGTTCCAAAAACTTTTTAGAACAAATAACACGAATGAAAACTGTACTATTATAGTATGGATTTCTTTGACCTTGCTGTTCATCGGCCGCTAAGCGAAAACAATCGGATCTGTCTGTATTATCCTGCTACGTGGGACGCTTATCGCACCGGGTCTCAATGTCAGAGTCGCTTCTTGGAGAAGGTCAATTTTGGTCAATAGGCATTAAGAGAGATATGACTAATCTGTCTTAGCTGATACACTATCTTTTTAACCTTAAAAATTGTATTGGCTTGTCTCAGCGAAGATGGTCAAGAAAAAATCGTATTAATTTTTATGGACGTTTTAGAGTAATAGGCATAGCAACGCGTGAGAAATTTAAAATTGATGATGGTAAGCGTCTACCGCCATCCATGGAACTCAAGAGTCACAGGTGGGCTTACAGTCCCCCGGGGATATAGGGGAGGAGGGGGAGGTCATATAATCTGTGACAACTACCAAAAGAATTCACGCGGGTCGAGCCGACCCATAAGGGCTCCCCCATGGTAAATTTAATTTTATCTTATCAATACATCTTTGAAATTATGTGGAATGATTTCACCAAACTGCATGGAATTCTGAGTACTCACATAAATTACTATTATCATGCTATTCTCACACACTTTCTTATCTATATATATATATATATTTATCTATAGATATCAGTACATTTGTTGCTCGGAATATTAACGCTTATATGATATTATTATCGCCTGGCGATCGAATTTAAACCGTTTTGAAAAACTTTTAAATACTTAATTACATATATTGTTGAAATAAAGTTCCTTATCGTGAGTTACACGGTCTGAGCGGATAGGAGCGAGACACTTCTTGCTATAGTTACAGCCGTGTATAAACTTTTTCTAAATTTTTATTTGTTATTTACTTAATTATTATAGATCATTCAGTGTTTAATTCATCACTTTGTATTTCATACACAATAAATATATTTCATTATAATTTTTCAATTTATCCTGATATCTATCTATATATGTATAAGAGATTTCCACGTATATAATCACTCATCACGATATCTCTGGAACCATTAGAGCTAAAGACTTGAAATTTGGTAGGAATATTCATTTCATCGAGTAGAGGTCAGCTAAGAACGGATTTTACGAAATTCCAACCCCAGGTGGCTGTGCGGGATCATTGAAAATTAAAATTTTTTTTTGGCAAAACCACGTTTGCAGGGTCAGCAAGTTTTATAATATCAATTATAATGACTGTATAGCAAACGTTTACCAAAAAGCGGAAGGAACTTCGTGCCGAATGGAGGTCCCATAGAGTACGAGTATAGACCCCTCATGCCGTTTTTTGTTAAAGTGAGTTAGTGAGGTTAATACCTCTTGGTTTTAAACTCCTGTAACCTCACCGACTTGGTGAAAGCAACGAAGGACTTGCTTAATTCTGGTTTTTCTGTGAGGTCATGGTATCGTTCAAGCCGACCCATTTGTAATAATAATATTAATAGCGTTAGGCGGCTTGATCAAGGGTCTGATACAGAAGGCAGTTCTCCTTGACACGGCTCGTATAGGGAGGGGGGTCCTTTGTCGATGTCGATGGTCTACTATTTTTTATGTTTTTAAATGTATTTTTTTTCTTTTGTAATATATTTTAAAATGTAATCAATATGTCTATATAATATACTAAAAGATAATAATAATATTAATATTTTCGGACATCTCACACACAACGCCACCTAGTTTCAAACTAAGCAGAGCTTGTATTATGAAAGCTAGATTAACTGATAGAATACTTATATCCTTTTATTTTGGAAATACATACATATTATACATAGGAAACACCCAAACCCCGAAACAAATATATGCAGATCATACAAACATTTTGGTCCAGGAATCGAACCCGAGACCTCAGCACAGCAGTCGCATATGCTACCACTACACCACCGAGGTAGTCTTTTTATGGCGAAGCGTTGCTCTCCCACGTAAACTTCTGATCCCAAATTGGACAGCCTGTGATATGGTAAACAGAGTGCTGATAAAACTACTTACGTCTATTTTTTAATACAAACATTGACGAGATGGCTGCCGTTAAGACTTACAGTGTTTTGCCTTAACAACGCTCAATCAGATTCTTTACGTCGGTTTAGTACCCCTTTTTTTTCCGTGTGGAAATCCCCTCGGATACCACCTATCGGTGGTATGTCGGACTCGAACCGACTAAAACCGCACGCCGTCTCGGGTACTAATAGCCGGGGAACCAGGTATACCCTAGAAAGGAAGTCCCTGGTGCCCCGACATACCTCGGGCCATCTACAGACGAGTAGACGACCCCCCCGTGTGGGAACCCCACGTTCCCTCTGCTCCCTGGAAGCGACCGCGCTTCGCATCGCGGTCGCCGCCACCCCGGCCTGCTTCTGCTAGGGTGACAGATGGCCTCACCTGTCACCCCCAGGCCTGCGC